TTTCCTGCATATGTGACAGGCTAAAAATCACAGAATCATAGACTGTCTCAAACTGGAAGGGACCCCAGGGATCATCAAATCCATTACAAGAGCTTGGAGTGACAGGACAAGGGGGAATGGCTTAAAGCTGAAAAAGAGCAGGTTTAGATGGGATATTAAGGAGAAATCCCTTCCCTGTCAGGGTGGGGAGGCCCTGGCACAGGTTGCCCAGAGAAGCTGTGGCTGCCCCATCCCTGGAAGTGTCCAAGGCCAGGTTGGACAGGGCTTGGAGCAACCTGGGCTAGTGGAAGGTGTTCCTGCCCATGGCAGGGGGTGGAATGAGGTAATTTTTAAGGTCTGTTGCAACCCAGACCATTCCATGATTCTGTGATAAGCCCAAATGTCACTGCTGCTTATAGACTGGGCAAGGAATACGCTGCATTTGGTCCTGGTTTTTGTGCAAGTAGTCCACGGTTATTACATTTTATTTCTGATTTCCTCTCTGCTTACCCTCTCCTTCCCTGCACCAGTGGGATCCCCTCGAGGTGGGAAAATCCAGGTCAGGCAGGAAGGAGGTGACACTGCAGGGACACTCCAGGTCATTCCTGTGACTGATCCCTCCAGTCGCTTTTTCCTAGAGATACATCACAGCAGTTTGGAAAAAAAGGATATTAGGGGATGTTGGCAGCCCAAAGCTGCCCTGCAGAGCATTAAAAATGACTCCAGTATGTTCCAGGACTCCACCATTGCCACTCCAGAAGCCCTTTTCACATGTGGCTTGTCCAAGGAGGGCAAGTGTAGCTGGTTTTTCAACAGGAATGGAAGTTCTCGGCCATAACACTGCCTGGTTTGTTGGGATTGAGCACCTGGAGCCCAAAATTCCATAGGATCAGCACAGAATTCTGAAAAAAAAAAACAACAACAACAGGGAAATAGGGAATGGGGCTGTTGGGAAGCAGCTCCCTGAGCCCAGAGGATGGGAGGCAGTGGTGTGACGTGGTTCCACGTGGGAATGGCTTTCCAGAGGGCAGGATTCTGCTGTTAAGAAGGAAAATTCCTTCTTGCTGACATAGTGGTGGAACAAATCACGGGTGAAATGGTGGAGAAAACTAGATAATAGCAACTCTTATTTAAATATGACTGGCCAGGGCATAATGGATCATTAAACTGGAAAGTGATGATCTGTCACCCAAAATATGCATTTGTATTGTGTGACACAGGGTTTGTTTTCTTAGCTTTTCTGTAGATTCTGGAGAGTTGGAAGCTTTAGGAGAAGTTGTTACAGAATTCCTGGTCTGTAGGGCCACGTGAGAGTGGCTGAGCAATTTATCCATAAAAATTGTGGGAGAAATTTGCCCAGGATTCAGGCAGGTCACAGCCCTCACTGATGGTACATCCTCATAAAATAAGGGATATATTTATAATGTAGGGATTGGGCTGATGTTGATGATGGAGACTTGACACAGTGAAGCTGGTTGACTGTTCAGATGAGAGCATGGAGGTGATAAATCATATTTGCTACTGCATGCAAGTGAATTACAGGCAGGATTGATTAATAAGAGGAAAAATCACTATCAAGAATCTACCTGTAAAGAATTCTAAACTTTAATTACCAAATTCTGTTTAAGTGCTACATGGATCCTGGTAGATTTTACCTTCCAAGCCTTCTCTTTAACAATCTTCATTAGCAGAATTTAACTAGTGCATAATGGATACCCTATGTTGTAACGTGGATTTAGACAGGATTTAAAAGGATCTTGCACTGCTGCACATTTCCTCACTGGTTACAGCAAGACTCATTCCCAGCTCCCACTGTTGATTCAAAAAACATTTAATGTTTCTTCTCCACCTATGTACATTTAATTATTGCTTTTTATAAGATGCAGGGAGCTGATCTTGTTAGGGAGCAGCTCAGAACCAGCAGGTTTGGGTTCCCCGTCACCGTCCGACATCATTTGAGGCGACACAATCAGATAAAATCTCTTATCTGGGTGTTGTTACACATTCACCCACCAGTGGTTGGAGTCCTGGTGTTGAGTTGGTGGGGAAAGCACCTCGTGAGCTGCACGGAATGTTTGTTTTGAAGCCGTCCCATCTCCTTCTGTCAGATCTGGAACCAGCAGTTCCCGAGGCTCGAGATCCGGGGCACGAAATGTTGCCGGCATTCCTTCGCTCCCAGATTTATTATCCCCCCGGAATATTTTGAAGCTGAAGTCGTTAATGTTTGGTGGAATGCGGAACAGCCAAGCCAGTCCTGCAGTAGATCCCAAAAACATCTTGATTAAATTAGAGGGGAGGTGGAGGGGAGGGAGGGCTGGAACAAAGAGGCCGTTGAGGAGCTGGCACGGGGTGCTGGGAATTTATGTGGCAGCAACCTCCAAGCTCTGCACATGGTGCAGATACACCCTGTGGTAACAAAGGAGTAGTGTGCATGTGTGTGTGTGTGTGTTTGTGTGTGCACACACACGCTCAGAGCAGCTCCTTTGGGCTGCAGGAAAGGCTTCAGAGGGGCAATTTGAGAGGAACGTGCTGAGGAAGCAGGTTTGCACTGCTGTCACCATCCTGGCGTGACTTCCTTGGGTGCTGCTGATTGTTTTCCTGATTTTCTGAGGAAGGGAAGCCTGTGGTTGTCACCACTCGTTGCACACCTTGGCACAGCACAGGTGAGGAGCTGCTGGTGCCCCACTGTCCCCCTTCCCCATTCTCATGGGCTCCTGTGCTGTGCCATGTTCATCAGCGATGATCCAACTGGATCATCTCCCAAATCGAGAGCAGAAGGATTTAGCCCTGATGGGAGAAGGAGACAAGGTTTGTGGGGACCTCCCCTCCCCACACACACAGTTTATTAGTAGAGCCAGTTAGATAAGATTTTGTTGCACGAGCCCTTTCAGGGAGGTGCAGATAGACTCTGGTTGTAGGTAGAGCCGAGCATGGATAAATAATAATAAAACTGATCAGACTTGCCTTCATTTATTGCTTTTTCCTGGAAGATTGTTTACAAATGGACTTATTTTAAGCTCTGTCTGCCTTTGCAAAACAAACAGAATAATAGAGAACAACATAGGATTTGATTCTGAAATAGAAATTGATACTGGAGACATTGGTTGTTGGTTCTGTTTTCTTGACATGCATTTCCTTTGTAAATCCATGCCACATTCTGCCATGATCCTGGGATCTCTCATGCCTGTGTGGCAAGGGTTGGGATCAGCAGCCTTGAGTCTGGCTGCACTTTGAACTCCATGGGAAGTCAGGGAAGTTCTCTCTGTGCATCACCTTCACCTCCCTCTACAGCCCTTGAGCAACAACTTCTTTCCCATTTTCTTCTGACTTTCCCAAGGAAACCCTTCTGCTTCCTCGAATGTATTTTCATTTATCAGGGTCAGCCAGCTCAGCTTTTTTCCCTCCTAAACCTTTTTCTTTTGGTGGAATCAGTGCAGGGAACAGCATTACATTAACAGTGCTCACTGCACAGCTCTTGTTTTCATGGCACCTATGATCTATCTCACCTTCATCTTAATGGAAGGTTTTTTCCAGTCCAGCAATCCAACAGCTTCTTTCTTGATTGCTCATTTGGAAGCACAAAGAGTTTTGTGTTTTGACAATTTGGCACTTGCGTGTCTCCTTTTCTTCTTCAGACCCGAATATACATTAAAATATTCATTTTAATCTATTTCGCATAATTGATGCTTCAGCAGTTTGTGCAGTGAATGAGCAATTTTATGCAAGAAATAAGCAAATGGGCTGAAAAGAGCCTGGTGAAAGGCGGATGATTGGGCCAGTCCAGGCAGTTTCACCAGCACAGTGGAGCGTGTGGCTCAAAAGCTCCTTCTGTGTGAAAAGTTCAGTGCTCAGGGCGTTTAAAACAGACCCAGCCAGTCACTTCCATTAATCATCTCCACGTTGAGAAAAAGGCAGTCAGAAAACCCTTGTGACCCACATCACTGCAGGGATGAGCAGCAGCTTCAGCTTTTTTTTTCCTGCTTTCAGAGATGGAAAAAACTGTAGATTTGTTGCTGCGAACTCCCTTGGGGATTGGGAACCACCAGCTTCTCGCTTTTCTTTAGATTAAAGACTCCTCAGAAAAAAAGCAGGATGCTTTCCTTTGTCAGCATTTGTGTCACATGCTTTTTTTTTTTCCCAGTAGCACCTGGGGAGCAGAGTTAGGAACGTGGGACTGGAACATATGGAAAAGGCAAAGGATTGGACCTTGGACACTTGTGCGTCTCATTGTGCTGGGGAAACAGTCTGGGATAAAACAACCATCATCTCAGAAACCTGCTCTGAGCACTGCTGAGCTGGACAGTGTTCAGAAGAGAATAATTTAGATTTAAATTATATGAACTCTCTCTTTTGGCTTTTACATTTATCAGTATGGTCTTGGTTGTTTTTTTTCCCTCACGGCTTAACACTATCTTGACTTCCAAGGCAGCAGTGTTGGTTTAAGTGTGGGTTTGTCTGCTCTACCTCTTTATCTTTTTCTTTTCCTGAACTTTGTAGGCATAAATAATCTTGAACTTATCAAATTTGCTGCCCCAGTAGATATTAAATACTTCTAACACGCAGAGCGTGAAGGTTCAGTCACGCAAACGCTGCCTTAGTGGGTAGTGAGGGACTAAAATGTCTAAGCTGAGTAATATTCTTCTTACATGCTGACTTCCTTACCCTGCATTTCTTCAGCTTCCATACCAGGCTGTCCTGTATCCATAGTCTTCCTTGATCCTGCTAAAATTGCAGGATCTGTGTGTTTCCAGGCTTGACCTTTGAAAATCCCAAATTCTCTGGCCTTTTCCATCTCCATACAGCAAAGCTTTTCTTTCTGTGCTTATAAAACATTTCAGTTTATTAATACTCTTGGTGCAACGTGGCCCTAAGTGGGCTCTGGGCTGGGCAGTTTATTGGATTTACCAGCATAGACAGTGGTGCTTAATTGGGCCTAAATTATTCGTGGGTGCTCCGTGTTCGCTTCCTCCGCCTCTTTTCCGTCTTCCCCAATTAACTTTCGTTTCTCTCTTCTCTTGCAGAGCAAGGAAGTGGGATTGCAGCTCCAGGAAGACTTGATGAAGGTCTTGAATGAACTCTACACGGTAAATCAAACTGACTCCTTGGCATCTTTTCAGGCACAGGGAAGTGTTTGGGTTCTCCCACCAACGCTGATAAATGTCTGCAGTCCCTGCAGTTTGAGGCACCTCGTGTTCACCACCTACAGAGCACCATAAATCCCACTTTTTCCCTCTGTCCCTGTGTTGTTTGAGCTCTGTGAGTGTTTGCTCCAGGAAGATCACACCTTCTCCTTCGCTGCAGTGATGGTTTTAAATTAAGGAGAGTCAGAGAGAGTGGAATTATATCTAAATGTGCTAAAACCCTTCAGTTTTGTGTGGTGTGAGCAGACAGAAGGCAGCACGGGGGGGCCCACTGTGTGTGTTTGTTCCTCAACCCTCAGCAAAGCAGTTCCCCTTAGAGTAATAAGAGTTTTCCATCTGTGCTTTTTTTTTGGATCTCAGTAAATCCACTGGAGGCACCAAGGAAGAGGTGCTGCCTCAGGGAGGAGGAGGAGGGATGTGTTCCTGGGAGCTCATGTGCTGCGTGGGGGTTTTTCTTCTCACATTGATAAATGGGAAATCCTGTCGTTGGACGAGATTTTTGCTCTCTGCAGCTGTTGCTGAGCTAGTTCTCTTTTAAAAGCAGAACTTGCACGTGGTTTAGTTGCTCAAAATGTCTTTTTATTTTGTGCTTCCTTAATGATACGCCGGGTCATGACACGGAGGTACAAGTTCTGTCCTTCCTTCTTTCAAGAGATGATCTGGGGATGTTCCTCAAGCCATGGCACATCAACCCTGTGATGAAATTCAGTAAAAATATCAATGTTACAATATTTATGGGGTATCCCTGCAATTTCCTACATCAATAAAATGTTCCGTTACAATTTGTTACAGTTACAGCGTTGAAACCAAATATTCAGATAATAATAATAATAACAATAATAATAATAATAATAATAATAATAATAATAATCAGCACTGCCTACTCCAGAAATTGTTTTCTATTTGAGGGCATAATCTGATACAACTTTTGAGTCATGTCCTTGGATGGGATCTTAGGGAAGAGCTCAGCTCTGTTTCTAACCACAGACTTTCAGGAGCTGAGATTTCTTTCTAATCCAAGTTGACCTGGCAATGAAGGGGCTGCTTCCTGGAGTTTCATAGATGTGGGTAATAATTTCTGTGTGCCAGGCTCTGACAGGTCATTCAGCCAAATACTGAGTCCTGGTGGTTTCTCTGACCGTGGAAGGAAGATCTTCCAGAATTCAGCCTGTGATAAACAAAGAGATGTAGGATACAAACCTTTCTAATGTCTGTGTTAGGAACTTGAAATCTATTTATTCCTTCCTTCTGCTGCAAAATCTGAAGTTGTGCCTTCACCAGAAAAATTCTTTTCCTTTGAAAAAACCACTTCTGATCACATTAAAAGACCTTTTCTTGCTGGACTCAAAACAACCCCAGCAGTGATTAAATTTAGTGCTACTTTCTAGAAATGCTTCCACTTCTTGTCCTGCTGGGTCTCTGGTTTAACTGGACGTGGCACAAGGTGCTGATCAACCAAAGGCTGGGCTTGATGATCTCGGAGGTCTTTTCCAGCCTAAATCATGTTGTGATTCTGCACCCAAAGCCTTGGCAGGATCCCTGTTTTCAGGCAAAATGGATGTGGGCGAATTCTTTACTTTCCCTGTGCCAACAAAACACAGAGGGGTTGTTACAGCCTGTAATTTTTTTCTTGCCCTGGATTGTCCCGTGCCCTCTGCAGACTCCAGTGAGTCACCAGTGACCCCAGCAGCAGACTGGGGTGGGCAGTGGGATGAAACCATTCCAATCCTCATTTCTCCTCCTGCTTCTCTTGCTCTCTGCCAGCTCCACTCTCAGTGAGAGAGGGAAAGAAGCTCCTTGGAATCTGTTATTCTAAATGCCTGCTTTATAGTCGGAGCGTATGGGGGAGCTGGGAGTGCGTGTGTGTAAATTATTCAGCACATCTCTCCAACACTGGCTGCATTCACATTCCCTTTCATGTTTAAATCCAGTGTCTCTTTGTAGCTGAGAACCTTTGCTGATCACTGCAGAGGCAGAGCTTGCGTCCTACTTACGTAGAACTGTGTCATGTTGTGGTACAAAACAGGTATAAACAGATTTTCCTCTGAAATCAAGACCCCACTTGCATAAAAAAATTGATTTATTTGGGGTGATTTTGTGCAACTGTGCTTTTTTTTTCTTTTTGCCCCCCCAATGAGAGTTACATCATGATGTTTGTTTTGGTGTGTGCTTCGAATTGCTTTGCGTTTCTGGATAAAAAACTAGTTTATGTATCGTGCCCTTTGGTTTTTTAGTTCTTTTTTTTCTCAACACAAAGCTAGACATTAATATCCTGTGAAACAAATGGGGGTTTTTTGTGACTTTGGGGGATATTTATCTATATTTAATTATAAAAAATGTGCTATAATAAAAGTTGTCCATATAGTACAGAGTCCAGATCTCCCTAAACAAAAGGACAACACTCTTTTATTAATATTTTTATTACATAAGGTGAACAGAAGTACTTTTATGTACCAAATTTGATATAAACAAGTGGAACCTGAGTTGCTTTTGCAGCCATTGTGTTCAGACATGATTTACATACAGTTCCTGGAGACTTGTGATGTTTAAAGGACTGATTCATCCAGATGAAAGACTGATAGGCATCCCTTTGGAAAACTTACCTGCTGATGAAAAGCTCTCATTTTCCAACGCTGGCATATCATTTTCTTTGAACAGTAAAGGAGGCTGGATTGAGTCTGGATCTTTTTTTGGATCTCATGCCTCCTTTATTGGCTTGTACAAGAAGGCACATGCCAAAGTTAAACAAAAGAAACAGCTGCAAAATAATCCCCTCTGATTTCAGATTCGTTTCGAGAGCCACACGCTCGTTTGTGGCATCTTCTGAGAGGGGAAGTTTCCCCTGAGTTTTTATTTTTTCCAGCTCGGATTATTTCGAGTTTAACAACCTTGCTGGGCTCTGACTCTTGGCTCTCTTCTTCCTGCAGGTGATGAAAACCTACCACATGTACAACGCCGACAGCATCAGCGCCCAGAGCAAGCTGAAGGAGGCCGAGAAGCAGGAGGAGAAGCAGATTGGGAAGTCTGTGAAGCAGGAGGACAAGCAGACCCCCCGCTCCCCGGACTCCACCTCCAACGTCAAGTTCGAGGAGAAACACGTCCGGCGAAGCTCCGTCAAGAAAATCGAGAAGATGAAGGAGAAGGTACTTGCCTGGCAGTGCTGCTGCTTGTGCAGGGGGGATTTTTGCAGTAGATCAGCACGGGAGATACAGAGTTCCCTCCTCAAATGCAAAATCTCTTTTTTTTTTTAAAATTTTTTTTTTTGCCATTTTAAACGCTCGGATTAAGGAAAGGCCAAAGGTCGCACTGAGCATCCTTCAGGACGATCCAGTGTGCGTTTTGTGTTAACACAGGTAATGCAGGCCTGGCACGGAAAGTTAAAACACAGTGTAAAAGTAACAATCACCTTCTTGGAAGGTCTGGTTAACGTGTTTTTCTTGTACAAAGCACAAGTGATAGGAGGGAGTCAAGTAATCCCACAAAGCCAGTTGCCTTAGTAGTCAGTCAGCTTTAAGTCAGTTTAAGATTATTTAGTCACTAATTGGCCAGTTCAGCTCTAAGGTTCAAGCCAATAGGAAGGAAAAGAGTTATTTTTTAATGGTTTTAGACTCTGGAAGTACCAAGTTCAAGCCTAGCTTCTGTTGGAAGAGGTAGGGTGCCTGCAGCAGCCCTCAAACTGCCTGTGATCTTCTGGTAGTGCTGGAGCTGGACCATAAATAACCTCATAAAACCCACCTTGTTCCTTCATTCTCTCCTTAATCTTCCCCAGCCCACACCCTCAAGAGAAGACTTTCAATCCAGAGCTGCCTGGTACAGAAATGATTAAAAACATCTAAATAATTAATCTACAATTATAAGTCTTGGGAGTCTTGATAAAACTGGAATTCAAATGGACAAAATCTGTGTGGGCAGAGCAGGCTTTGTTCGGTATTCTGAATGCTGCTACACCTCTTTTAATGCTGTATTCTCTTTTTCTTTCTCTTTTAGCGCCAGGCAAAGTACACAGAGAACAGGCTGAAGGCCATTAAGGCAAGGAATGAGTATCTGCTGGCCCTGGAAGCCACCAATGCCTCGGTGTTCAAGTATTACATCCACGACCTGTCTGATCTCATTGATGTAAGTGCTGCTGCTCGGGGGCCTGCACTGGGTGGCACTGCCACGAGCCCTCACCCCTTCCCCTCCTCCTTCAGCATCTTCTGCACCAGCACAGCTGGAAACCTCTGCACAGCTGTGCAGGGGCAGGCTCGGATGGGCAGCTTGGAGGGTGGCCACAACCCTGGTATTTGTTCATGGAGCTGTGACATGAGCTTTTCTTAGGTGGCCAACTCGGTTCGTTGCACAGGGAGACGAGAAGCGTGGCTCTGAAAAGCAAAGGGAGTTGCTTAGTTAAAATGAAACCCAGCTTTGGTGTCACACTGTTGCCTGACATTTTCTCTTTGCTATTTTAAGCAAACCCGCAAGATTTTAGCTCTGAAGCACATTTTGAAAGGAGATTTTGAGCTGTAGAAACAGTAGAAGAAATTTGGGAAAAGAAATGGGAGTTCAGAAGCATTTCCTGAAGTTGCTTTTCACTTGTTTTGAAAAATTCAGAGAACCATAGGATATCCTGAGTTGGGAGGAACCCACAAGGATCATTGAGTCCAACTCCTGGCCCTGGGCAGGACACCCCAAAATCCCACCCTGTGCCTGAGAGCGTTGTCCAAACACTCCTGGAGCTCTGGCAGGTTTAATGCCCTGGGGAGCCTGGTCAGTGCCCAGCCACCCTCTGGGGGAAGAACCTTTTCCTAATATCCACCTGCAACCCTCCCTGACACAGCTCCAGCTTGTGTCCTGTCCTCCCTTGTGTCCTGTCACTGCTCACAGAGGGAATATATTCCAAACCCCGCAGTATTCAGTGGGAATCAATTCTGCTTTTGGTAAAACTCACAATAAAAAAAAAAAATCAAATCTCTGCTCTTTGAAAACTCAGAAAAGCCAGTTGGCAATCCTGAGTTACTCACAGGGATGTAACTCCCCCCTTCAAGCTGTGTCTGGGTCACTGCCTCGTGCTGGATCCAGGTCCCTTTCCAAGGCCATCCCAGTTCCATCACTGCTGGAAACACTCGGCTCAGAGCCTGGAGGGAGCTGCAGTAGGAGCAGGGAGTAATGAACACAAGTGTCTCTAGACATAGGCAATAAAGAGCACTCAGAGCACTATTAATTACTCAGCTATTATAATAACTAACAGTCTATATAATACATTTATTCAGCTGATGATAAACTCGCCTGGAGTGCTCTTGTGCCAGGTGTTGATTTAAACCTGTCCTTTGGAGGTCAGGGCTGTCAGTGAGAGTGGGCTTGAAAAATACTGTTATTTCCAAATGTCATGATTTGCAGAATTGCTGCACTGAAGAGGCCTGGGTTGTTTATTCCTGCTGCCTTTTTAGGAGCCCTGTTTTGGTTAACATTTGCTCAACCTTAGTTGTGCGGTCTTGGGTTGTTTTTTTTTTTTACAAATGATAACTTTTTGTACGTGTTTACATTGAAAAGTTGGTTGGGATTCGCTTCCCTGCCATCAGCCTAAATCAGTTATCTCAGTTTTTACTTCTACAACCCATCTATAAGTCCTCCCCCCAAATGCTGCACGTGTGCTTGGTTCATTTGTCTGCCCAGTGTATTTTCATGAGTCAGACATAGTGAAGAATCCTTTTGGATTTCATAAGCCCAAACCAGCTTCTGAGCACGGACCTGAGATGTTTTAAGCAGGACATGACAAATCTGGGTTATCCAGCTTGGAAAGAAGTGCTTCTCTCACAGTCCCAGCTGTCTCTGGGCCATGGCAGGCAGTGCTGCAAGACAAGGAGCCAAACTGCAGCATTCCAGGGATTTCCTAGAGAGGAGCTATCAGGGCTCTGGGTGAGTCCGTGCCCGTGTTAACCCCCTTCAAGCATTCAGTTTAACACTACATTATAAGTTTTCATGATCTTTCAAATAGAAGTATTATCTGTTCTGTTTTCAGGCATGGAAGAATGTGGGACTTGTCTGGGAGCACAGGAGATGGAGCTCAGTTATCTCATTGTCAAGGCACAGGGAATATAGATTTATTAATGCCTTTGATCCTGAAGGATTGAAAATTAACAATTATAACCAGTGATGGTTATCTGAACCGTCTGAATTAAATAAAAATGTGATTTTTAAGCCAGGCTGTAATGCTTTCCCTCAATCTGATCATTTGATCATATTGAATTTTGAAATATAATATAAAAGTAATCTTCAAAGTTACTTACAAGTAGATTGTGTTAGACCAAACAGCATTAAACTTGTCATGTTTATACAGCACATTGTGTTCCCTCTCCAGTTACAGGGAAGGATAACAGGGAGTTAATTCTTCATTGAGAGTTAAGAACAATAAATTGTTCCTGACATAGCCCAGTAGTTTTGAATTTCCTGACTTTGGGGACTGAGGCAGCTCTTTGATGCTAATGAAATATTACAGTAATGGGGAAGTTTGCATTAGCTTATATTTATAAAAGGGTCACTAGGACAGGATTTAAAAAAAAAGAAGGTAGAAATGTGTGTGTGAGTGACTCACAGAGCTTACTTTACTCTTCTAGGAATAGGTATTCCATTGTTGTTTACTCCAGGATCCCATCCTTTCCCTTCCAAATGTAAATTGCACTTTACAACAAAGGGCTTTTTCTCCTTAAATCTTCTGGTTTGGGTCTGTTTGAAAACTGCTAACTGGCAAAGGGTTAATCAGCTGTCATGTCGGGAAGGGAATTTGAATGAGTTATCATTAAATTCTTATAAAAAATTGATTTCCTTTGAGAATGATTCCATCAAACATTTATATAACCCAGAAAAGGGACAGTGGGACTGGTACATTTATAAACACGGAACGCTGGACTTTAAAAACCTTTCCAGTGGGGGAGTGGGCTGGGGAGTGTTTTCTGTCACTGCCTTCAGCAGCAAAAAGCCAAAACACTTTGCTTTGAGGTGGGTGTGGCAAATTAACTGCCCTTGGACCTCCCAGTTCCCCCAGTGCTCTCCCCTCCTGCAGCAGTTCCACTTTCCTTCCAGGCATGGATGTGATGGGAGAAAGGGAGCACGGGGAGGGCAGAGTGGGAGCACTGGGAGGCTGCACAACCTCCTGGCCCACAGCAGGAATTGTGTCCAGTTCTGCTCTCCACAACTGAAGAAAGACCAGGAGCTACTGGAGAGGCTCCAGCAGAGAGGCCACAAAGGTGATGAGGGGTCTGGAGCATCTCTCTGATGAGGAGAGACTGTGGGAGCTGGGCCTGGTTAGTCTGGAAAAGGGAGGATGGAGAAATGTTTCCAAGGGGTGTTGGGATGATGCCAGGTCTGTTCAGTGGTGCCCGGTGACAGGACAAGGAGCGATGGCCATGAACTAAAAGAGAAGTTCTACCTCAGCATGAGGAAGAACTTCTTTCCATGGAGGTGGCAGAGCTCTGGAGCAGCTGCCCAGGGAGGGTGTGGAGTCTCTCTCTCCTTCTGGAGACATCCCAAACCCACCTGGATGAGTTCCTGTGTCACCTGCTCCAGGTGACCCTCCCTTGGCAGGGGGGTTGCAGTGGGTGATCTCCAGAAGTCCCTTCCAACCCCAACCTACTCTGTGATTCTGAGGACAGGAGTGAGTGAGTGCTGCTGTTAAACCTGAGCTGATCCCAGTCCTGGCTGCAGCACTGGCCCAACTCTGCCTTTCCCCCCCCAGGACTGCAGGGAAGGACTGCAGTGTGTGTGCACTGAGCAGTAGCTGTGAGTGGCTCTTGATCCAAGACTGCCTCCACACGTGCAGATTCTCAATCAGGCCTCTTTTGTTTTTGGTGTTTGGGTTTTTTTCCTTTTTTTTTTTTTTTTTTTTTCTTGGCTGGTTTTGTTCTTTCTGATTGAATGTAAAGTCCTTTAATTCTCTGCCTCCAGCCCAACCAGCAACTGCAGCTCTTTTTACAAGACTCCCCACCTGCCAGAGCTTGTTGGCACAAGAACCAGGCATCCAGCAGCACCCGGTGGCAGAAATTCTGTGAAAGCAGGGAATGGTCCAGTAGCCTCTCTCTTCCCTCTCCCCCCACCCCTCCTTCTCTTTTTTCCCCTTTTTTTCCTTTGCTTTTGCACACAATGACAGTGATGAGACCCAAATGATGGGCGAGGAGGAGATTTCATGTGAATTTTGCTTACAGAGCAGCACAGCAATCAAGCAGATGGTCTCTTTCTTTCTTTCTTTTTGGATATTCTCCTAGTGTGTGTAATCTTGCTTTTGTAATTCCAAGAAGGTGGGCTCCTTCTTGCTCACTCAATTCGATGGCTGAAAAAATCCAGGCTGTTTCTGACCAGTTAATGAAAAAGTGCCTTTTTCCCCTTCTGAAACATGAAAACTTGGCTCTGCAGCCCTGGTGGAGATGAAGCTGCTTGATTGTATCCCAGTGACATCACCCTAGTGTCAGCCATAGCCAGGAAATTCTTGACCATAACCACTTTCTGCTTCAAAGTTTTTTTGCTCCTCTGTTTCACCCCAGCAGTGAAATCATCCCAAGCAAAGGCTGCTTGGCTTTTGGATGACTCTGTTCTCATGCCTGGGATGTCCAGGTCATGTTCCTCCTTCCTGAAGTACACTGAATAAAGCAGTTTTCCGTGTTTTGGGTGGAATTATCTAGATGCAGATTAACTTTTATACGTGATCCAAATCCTGTGTCTTGTTTCTCCAGTAGTGCCTTGTTTTCCTCTTCCTTTGAATAATGTTATTTAAGGATTTTGGAGCGTGCTTATAGGAATCAGGGCCCCTAAAAGTGAGGTTAGAATTTAGGGGAATACACTGGCATGCTGTTGAACACACCCAGTTCTAGGTTACTTTTTTCTGACAGCATGAAATGAATATCTAATACTCCACAAAAACTCCACAAACTGTTATAATTGTTTAAGCTGTGCTTGTCTTGGTTATTAATTATAACACGGTGGTAGAATTTGTGTGGAATTACAGGTTGAGGTTCTCTAAGGCCCCTGGGCAAGATGCCTCTGCACTGAGGGAGGGGTGTGGGACCACTCTGGTACCCAGAAGATGCTGAAATAACCACAACTTGTTATCCACTTAGAATCATAGAATCAGCCAGGTTGGAAAAGATCTCCGAGATCATCAAGTCCAACCTTAATCTTTCAGCCTTGCCTGCTCTTAAAGCAACCTCATGTCAGCAGCCAAACAGAGGGTCAGCCTGGTCTTAAAGACTGAGATACTGGATCATTTCCATGGGGAGAATCCCTCAATCCAAGCCAGGGGGCACAAAGAATGGGCTCATCTCCAGCAGAGGCTCTGAAGCTGAAAATAGATGCAGAAGGCAAGTTTGCTGGTGATCAGTGTTAGGCAGAATATCTTAGCTTTGAAGATATTGTTCAGGAGGAATTCTGCAACTCTATAAAGCAAAAAGTTCCTCCTTTAAAATTAAGCACAAATTTGGTATAGGTTTGTCTTGGATAACTACAGGGAACATGTCCTTAATTCACCTAGAAAAACTATTAAAGAGAGATGTTTGCCTTTAGACTGTATATAAAAGGCTTCCTGCATTAAAAGAGGTAAATTTCCCCAGCTCTAAACTAGAGCTATTTGACACATTTTCCACAGAAGAGTTCTCTGTTGAAAATGCAGCCTCATTGAAGCTTTTGGTGAGAGCACGTTGACTCCAAAAGCGCTTTTGACTTACGCAACTTCAGGCTTTGGATTTCCATCCTGGAATTCCTCCACTTTATTCACGTGGGGTGGGGTGGCTGTGTGTGTGTTTTTCCAGCAGTGCTGTGACCTGGGGTACCACGCCAGCCTCAACAGAGCCCTGAGGACGTTCCTGTCGGCCGAGCTGAACCTGGAGCAGTCGAAGCACGAGGGGCTGGACGCCATCGAGAACGCCGTGGAGAACCTGGACGCCAACAGCGACAAGCAGAGGCTGATGGAGATGTACAACAACGTCTTCTGCCCCCCCATGAAGTTCGAGTTCCAGCCACACATGGGTGACATGGTCAGTTTGGGTCCCTCCTCCAGAATGGGATTTCCGGCTTGAGTTACATTGATATGGAATGCTCTTTTAAATCAGTGTTTTTCGTACAGTTCGTATCCCTCAGCATTTTAGCACATCATGAGGTAAAAGGGGATTGAAAGCTCAGTTCTGCTCTGCACTTTGTTTTCATCCCCTACACAGAGAATGTCTCACCCAGCTCTGCCCTCAGCCTCATTAATACTCATCTGAGCATTTCCTCAGACACTGAAAAAGCTGCTCCTTGGAGATTCAAAGCTTGGAATCTTTATCAGGGATATTTATAAGCCTGGTCAATAGCAGATCAATCCAGCATCTGATCAGGCTGGTTAAAGAGGGTCTCTGGCTCCCACTCAGTCCAAGGCCACCTGTTTGGCTCTGGGTTTGGGAGGTTCAGGGGAGCCTGAGAAAGGGGAGGTGATGTAAAGATTAAGCAGAGGCTTCTGGTGTGGATGCCTGAATTTTACTGGCTCTTTTTTGGCCGTCAGAGGTACTGAAGATGGAAATGCTTAATTGGGTTTAATGCTAAACAGGAACAGGATGCTCCATTTTACCCTTTCATTTAACCTACGAGTTAAATAAATAAATAAATAAATGAAATGAGGTAAATTCCTGCACCCTGAGACAGAATGTGAAGTTAGAAATTCGAGGGGACAGCATAAAGAAACTTAAATGCTGATTTTTGATGCATTTGGGTGCGTAATCTTGGAGCAGAAATGCTTTCCAGTGGTGCTTTTTGCATCTTCCTTGTGAGACGAGGCTGTCAGAGGACTTTCATTTTTTGGCACGGAAAATCCCTCTCTTTATAGGTTTATCAAGATGTGGTTACTCAGCTGGGAACTGTTTAAAAGTGGCACAAGCTGAAACCGGTTCTAAATGGGAACACATGCACAGTGTGCTAATTTAGGTCAGTTGGTTGGATTTCTAGATTATCCCCTGAACACTGAGCACAGACTGGAAGGATGGTCTCTTGCAGCCTCTTCTTTCCAGCCAGGAATTACAATCACTGCTTCAGGCTCTTCTTTGTCTCTTCCATTTTAAGGGAAACTCTCAGACTGCAAATGACCTTTCCTGTTTTTTTTTTTTTCTGTGCTTTGGTGGTATATCCTGGAAGATCGTGGGAAGAAAAAAAGAATTACCTGCAGTCAGTCATTCAGCAGCAGCTCCCATTCACTGAATCATTTATCTTGGTAGTTCTTAAGGCCAAATGAGTATTTATAATGCAGCTGATGGTCTTGTTGCAATAGTCCTACATTGAATACATGATGGTGTGTGTGCATGTGTGTGATAAAACTCCCATTCCAGTTTCTGTCTTTAAAAAAACAGCCTTAGGCAGTGAGGGCAGTGTTTTCTTTTAAAAAAGCCCCCCCTCCCCCCCCAAAAAAAAGAACAAAACTAAGGGGAAAAGCTGCCTCATGCTGTGAAATAAGAGTAATTCTGAGCAGCCCAGGGAAGCTCAGTGTTCTGGTGTGTTTGACAGGTCCCTAACCTGTTCTTTTTTTTATTTCAACTCCCCTGAATTTATTAAATGGTGACTCGTGCCTGTTGCTGTGGTGTACAGGTAGTTCAGCTGAGGGAGCTCAGCCCCTTGTACCCCTGCCCCAGGATGCCTGGCTAAAACATTGAACCACATTCTTCTTGATCTGCCACGTGATTTAGCCCAATATCTGAGGTAAAGCACCTTCAGACTTCCAAAACACACCATGAGCTTACATTACTGGAATTAGCTCGTTTTTCCTAGTTCTCCTGTGATGTTCTCATCCTCTCTTTTGCTCAGTCCACCCAAGAAGGGAATAGCAGTTTGGGAGAACCTTTGCCACTGGTTGAAATCCAGGGCTGCAAAGTTTGAAAGTTAAGCACTTTGGAAAACGTTTGTGTATAATAATCAAATGACTAATTGCAGTGTTCTTGATGATGTGGGTTTTTTCCCCTGTGCTGTTTCCCTCCCAGGAGTCCCAGCTGTGTGCCCAGCAGCCAGTCCAGAGTGAGTTGGTGCAGAGGTGTCAGCAGTTGCAGTCCAGGTTATCTACACTGAAGATTGAAAATGAAGAGGTCAGTTAATCCACCAAAAATCAACAACTTCTCTTACCCACTTCCAGTCCATCCTGGGGAACTGATTGTGGCAGAATCTTGTTGCTGTGATCCTCTTTTATGAAGAGTTGTGTTAAAATTCAAGGCTGAGGCAGTTGAAGCCAGCAGTTCTTGAGTGTGTGATCCCACATGGAAGTTGGGTGTGTGGAGAGGATCCTTTAAAATGCCTCCATGGCTCTTTCTCCCCACCCTGCAGTTGATAAGACTGGCTGTGTTGCAAAAGTTGTATTTGGATAGCTAAGGGAAAAAGAGGAACTTAATGTTTTGAAGTGAAGACAGTGAATTTGCATCACCTGGGGTAAGAGTGATTTTTGTTTAATTGGTCATCTAAGATGAGAAGACTACATCAGTGGTATGGCCTGTCTCTGCACATCTCTGTTCAAGAACTTTTAATCCTCCTTGGGTAAAATTTACAACTCCTTTATGTCTAGGAAGTCGATTCAGATTTACCCTCAGTAAAAATGAAAAGTGCAGCAAAGTCCTGCTTGTAACATCCAACATTTGATGCCCAGTAGATGTAGTTGCAGAGGACAATCAGACCATCTTTGTTCCACGCTCTTTGAGGTTAAATGTCTTTACATCTGCTCCTGATCACAGCTGATTTCCTGCTCCTGGCAGGTTCTGGGTGCTGCCAGCCCTTGGGCTGTGCTGTTAATGAGCAAAACTTACCCCTTAATTACGTCAGGACGTGAAACCAGTAATATCTGTTTATTACCAAAGTGCTCCAGGGCACTTGCTGCCTCTCCTGTTGACACACAACGTGCTGTCCTCACCTGTAAGTTCTCTCCTTCTCGCTGGGCAGGTTAAGAAGACCATGGAAGCCACTCTGCAGACAATCCAGGACATTGTCACCATAGAGGACTTTGATGTCTCGGACTGTTTCCAGTACAGCAACTCCATGGAGTCTGTGAAATCCACTGTCTCAGAAACCTTCATGAGCAAACCCAGCATTGCCAAGAGAAGGGCGAACCAGCAGGAGACAGAGCAGTTCTACTTCACTGTAAGGGGCTCCTTTTTAGGAGCTTAGGAATGTTTTTTCTTTTGGGGAAGAAGTTCTTCCCTGTGAGGGTGGGGAGGCCCTGGCACAGGTTGCCCAGAGAAGCTGTGGCTGCCCCATCCCTGGAAGTGTCCAAGGCCAGGAAGGAGCAACCCGGGCTAGTGGAAGGTGTGGGGATGGAACTGGATGAGCTTTAAGGTCCCTTCCAACCCAAACCCTTCTGTGATTCTCTATTTTCAGTGTGATTTATTTAGAATTATACTCACCAGAGAGTGCAAAATGATGCTCTTGTCTTACAAAAACACTTCTGTCATTGATTTTTGGGCAAGCAGAGGAAGCACGTTGGGTTTTTTAAAACGTGTGCTCTCAATTCTCTGCAAATATATTGGGATGCCTTTGTTGATGCAAACGTGGTCTGTGGATAAATAGTGTAAAATTTGATTTCTTCTGCATCTGAAAAGGAATTGTCTGAGAAAGAACTTAATAGCTTGTAAATATCAATTTTCAAAACTAATAGAAGCTAAAAGGATGTTTAGCTCTTTCATTTTTTGTTATTATCATCTTACAACTCCAGCTCACAGCTTTTCACTAAGTCAGTGCTTTTTACAAGATGCTAAGAGCTTTCTGATGTTGACTTTCATACCATACTATGTGTTTTTTAATAAATCAGATTTATGTTAAACTGTTGAATTTGGCTGGATTTTCAAAATATATCAGATTAGCAGATGAAAATCACAGCTCTTATCCTGGTTACTTTGTCATTCCTTTGGGCATCTTTTGCTATATATGATATCCTTCATGTTCTTCTTCCCAGAATTATTAAAAGTCTGAATTTTCTGTGCAAATTGCAGTAGCTGGATGGGTTCAGGATGGTTCATCAGGCCTTGACTTACAAATATTCAAAATCCTTTGTAGAAGGTGAAAGTGGCTATTGAGAGAAGTGGGTGGAGAAACGGCTTCAATTAAGAAGGGATTGACCACCCTGCCCAGGGTTATGGAACTAGAAAAGTGATTTTTAATTGAACTCCCAGCACTCCCTCTCTAGAGAGGGACTATTGTCAGTTTAAATAGGAGAAGGAACCCAGGGCTTCATTTGGAGGGGATGTTTTTCTGTTTCGTGGTGTTAGTTAGAGAGACCCTCTTTAACCAGCCTGATCAGATTGGATTGATCAGCTGGATTGATCTGCTATTGACCAGGCTTATAAATATCCCTGATAAAGATTCCAAGCTTTGAATCTCTAAAGAGCAGCTTTTTCAGTGTCTGAGGAAACGCTCAGATGAGTATTAATGAGGCTGAGGGCAGAGCTGGGTGAGACATTCTCTGTGTAGGGGATGAAAACAAAGTGCAGAGCAGAACTGAGCTTTCAATCCCCTTTTACCTCATGATGTGCTAAAATGCTGAGGGATATGAACTGTACGAAAAACACTGATTTAAAAGAGCATTCCATATTAATGTAACTCAAGCTGGAAATTCCACGTGGTGCATTACTAGCTGGGCAGAGCTCTGGGGTAAATAGAGTGATGGGAATTTAATTGAAGATACTCACTGTAGTATCTCCACGCTGGAATAATCTGCGTTTCCACTAGAGGCACATCCCTGCACGCTGATGGATGTGTTGTTGGGCTTTGAAGGAAGATTTGTATTCAGAAGAGAAGCTTAAAACTTCCCTGTGTGAGTGGAAAGCAGAGGAATGATTGACTTAGCAGTGAGCTAATGCAGGTGGCTGAAGCAGGGAAGCAGCAGCGACTTCAGGGAGCCAAAATCCAGGGATGTGGCTGCTGCTGCCATGGATACAGACCTGCTTCCTGGAATTGGAGCTGTCAGAGCTGCTAATCATAACACAGCTGGCACTCGGCCCCACCTGAGGAGTGGAGAGGGGATGAATGATTTAATTCTCTTACCTCTAAAACGGGGTAATTTTAGTCCTCGGACGAAATGTTGGGGTTTTTTTCCTCCACGAAGATGAAGAGCCAGAGCAATGCTCATCCTGTGAAGTGCTTTAGAATTAATGTGAATTTATTATTAGCAAACCCTTAAGCCACGGGGCTGAAGTGTGATGTGAAGCCTCCCTGCCCATGAGTCCTGCAGCAGCGTCGTGCCGGGGGTGTCAGTGGGACACTGGGCCTGGGGTCAGTCAGATCCAATTCCCCCTCTCCTGCAAATGCCTGGGTTGAACTTGTTCTTGGAGGGTGTAGAGAGGGGATAAAACTGCTGAGCTTTCTGGGCTGGGGGCAGATCAGGATGTGGGACAGTGGCAGAAATGGGTTTTCTTTATAGCCAGGGTACGGTTGGTTTGCATTTCACTTCTTCCCGTGTCCCACCTGACAACTGGTTCTCCCTGGGAAAATCCTGCAGTGAGTTTGGGCTTGAGGTGTCCAAGTTGCTTGGTTTTCTGGGTGCAAAACGCTCCCCAGCTCTGACTCAGAACAGATCTTCACCTCTTAATTGTCACAGTGCAGAAATAATGTGACTTGAGGATGTTTCTGCTGCTTTGTTCTGATTGCACTTAGTGTGACTCCAGCTGTGCTCTGCCAGGAATGGGATCTTTAGGAGTTCTCCTGTAGCTTGATTATTATTTTTTGTCTGTTTTTATTACGCCAAAAATCCAGTGCTAATGCATCTTTGTAATTCATTGAACAAAGCCCGAAGCCTTATTTTAAAATGACTTTTTTTTTTCTTTTCATAAACATCCTTGCAACAGGCAGAGTACAGAATGTCAGGCACGAGGAAATAAGAGTAAAATCTCCTGAGATACTGCACTGAATAGGAACCTTCTCTTTTTCTCCTTTAAAACATTCCCTGGTACAATCCCAGGCAGGTGATGTTCTTACCATGACCTGAGCCAGAGCACTGGGACTCCCAGCGCTGTGTCTCTGCCCTGCCCTGCCTGCAGCCACCTTAGGCCGAGCTTAAGTGCTTAGATCTGCTTCAAAGGGGAGATTAACTCTGCCAAATCAAGTTGATCTGCTGATCTTTAAGCTTCTGTTTGAGCTGAGCCTTTCCAGCCCTTCCTCTCCCTTCACCCTCCTGTGACTCTGAGACCTCCCAAACCAGATTTATCCTCAAACCCCCCCCCCACCTCAGATTCTGTGGTTATTTTTGCAGCTTTAACTCTTAAGTGTTTTCTTCTGTCAAGGTCTGATGTGAAGTTTTTGACTGAGCAAAATATATAGTTAGGGCTTGGTCCTACGGGGTAATTCCAAAAGCAGTGTGATTTAATTTTTTGTCACTGTGATCACGCTTCCTGTTTTCTTCTAAAACAACAACCAAAAAAACTGAAGTGTTAATATAGGAAGCAGGAAATGCTGAGACTCTCCAAAGGGACTTAATTCTTGTGAAATGTTTCTTCCAATGTTGTCAAGCAAAGGGACATAAAACACAGGCTTTTGGCAGTTAATTAAAGCCATTTTTGTTTGTTGTGTCAGTGCACAGCACGGCTGGAGACCCCTCAGGGGAAACTTCGTTAGTTCCTGGAAGGTTTTCCCTTACCCTCAGTACTGCCACAGTGTATATATATATTTCTTTATTTATTTATGTATATATTTCTTCTTGATCCTTTACATCCTGCACAGAGGCTGCTGTTGTGACCTACAAAGGACAAGCAGGGGCCAGGCACTCTCGTTGCTAAAAACACCCTTTTTTACCTTAAACATTTGCAGTCTAATTTGGCAATCCTAGGCCAGAACTGGGAGAAAGTGGAGAGAATTGGGAAAAGCCAATGGAAGTGTCCAAGGCCAGGTTGGACAGGAATTTCAGGGCTAGTGGAAGGTGTCTCTGCCCATGGCAGGGGATGGAACTGGGTGATCTTTAAGGTTCCTTCCAGCCCAAATAATTCGAGGATTTAATGATAAGAAGAACATTTCATTATTAAATGAGAATCCTCTCTTTGTGTTGACTTTGCTGGCTGAATTAAAATATCACGGAATGGTTTTAGAATCTCATGATTCTAAAGAATGGCCTGTGATATTGGAAGAATTATGTGCTATTTGTGTTTTTTCTCAGTGTAAATGTGTCCTGGTTCCAACATGGACAGCTACTGTATTTTATGTGCTGCAGCTCAGTGAAGATAAATAAAAACTGCTCTGAACTGCAAAAATAAGAGATGAAAGACCTGTGAAAAACCAGCATTTGCAGAGCTGTGAAAAATCAGGAAGCAGTGGGGAAAAAACCCTTTCGTGATTGTATAATATTTCACCGAGAGAGTAGATCTGAACTTTAAAATAATACCTTTATTTGTTTTGTCCCGTGGCCCCCCTGCAACCCTGTGCATCATCCAGCGTGGAGGCAGCCCCAGCATTTGACAAGTAAAGTGGGGTGAGGGAGGTTAAGTGAGAGAATAAGCACAGTAGCAGCCTTTTAGTTGGTTAGAACAGATTGCTCATTCAGCTGCATTTCCATTCCCCCCCTGGCTGCAGAGGGATGGGTGACAGCTCCTCTGATGGCTTCAAACATGCCAGACATTCAGCTGATTCCACGGTGGAACAATGGGAATTGCGCTGCAGACAGGGAATCAGGCAGTCGTTAAGGTTGGGAAAAAAGACCTCCAAGATCAAGTCCAGCCTTTGTTGGACGTGAAATATGAATGGGCTGAACTTCAGACTTGCCCAGAGAGATAAACCAGGACTCAACTCGTCCTTTAACTGTGAATTTCAGTGTCATTCTGTACTTGGGTTCAGAATCAAGGGACATGAAGGTGCAATAAAAAAGACATGAATTGTCTACTCATGATCCTTTTTGTTTTTTTCCCCACCTTCCCAGAAAATGAAGGAGTACCTGGAAGGCAGGAACCTGATAACGAAGCTCCAAGCCAAGCACGACCTTCTCCAGAAGACCCTGGGAGAAAGTGAGTGTGGGACCCCCATCCCTGCTCCCAGCCAGGCTGTTGCACTTATTGCATCAGTCAGCTGAGTGTGACAGCCCTGCATTAGTGCTGCAAAGTGGCCACACTCATGTTTTATGAATTTATCTCCCTGATCTGTGTGATGGAGCAGCCCAGTGACCTACGGGGCTGCTTGATGAACAAAAGATGCTTAATGAATCACTAAAGTGCCTCGCTGATGGTTGCAGCCAAGCGTGTGCCCCCCTCCTCCATCCTCTCCCCATTCACACACCTCTGCTCCTCACTTAATGATCTGCACCGGGGCAGACCTTGGGATTTACAGTTTGCTGAGGAAGTTGAGAAGTACTGACAGAGCCTGGTCAGAAGTTTCACTTCCGTGGTAGTTTTGCTGCTTCTCACCTCTGGGAGTTCAAACCAAACCAGTGTACGTGAGCCTGGGCTTTTATTGGGAGAATAACAGGCAAATTTCAGAGCATTTAAAATATGTTGCCTGTCTAGAGGGCAGCAGCCAGAACTCAATATGCATTTGCTGTTGGTGTCAGAACAAAGGAAGATTTCTTTCCCTTCATGGTATGGGCAAATCCTGTCGGCCAAAAACACTTAAACTATGCATCCAAGTTTCCATAGAAACCTGACTGCCTTGTATTTGCAGAGGAGAAGGTTTTAAGTCTAAATGTCAGGTCAAAAAAAAGTGGCTCGACTCGTTGCTGGGTTGGTGTGCTGGAGCAGGGCTGGTGTTGTGATGTGTAACTGAGCTGGGCTCCCCACAGTTTATGGTGTGCAAATCTTGTGGATGAAAACTTAACCAGCATGTGGGCTTTGAAGTGCTTTGCTTTCAGTTTAAAAATGCACTATAAAACTAAAATACTTACTGCCATGGTAATTAAAGAGTTTCGTGTTTATCAGACCCAAACCACTGGAAGGCAAGGCAAGGATGTGCATTGGTTTGAGCTTTATTGGTTAAAGTTGTTCATCTCTTCAGCTGTCCCACAGAAGGGGTGGGTGAAGCCAAAGCTCTGTGTCCTTAGGGTATTTTTTTTCTGCCTCTAAATATCTCCAAGGGACACCCCTGCTGCCCCTGTGACTAATCACATTCCTGGATCATAGCTGACCTCTGCATTCCAGGACCTCTTTCCTCTTAACCTGCCTGCCCCCTGAACCCAGCTCAGGCTGTGTTGGGGGGGAAAAGGAGAGGAAATTAAATGTGATTTCTGTATTGCTACATAGATTTAAAGGCTGCTTCTGTTTCCTCCATTTGCTTTGCAAAGCAGAACTTTCTTAGTGGCTCTGTGAAGGGACCCAAAAAGTGTCAGGGGGAGCTCCTTCTGTCATCTGTGAGATCAAAAGGAGCTGAGAAAGGGAGGTGCATCTCTTTTCCAAAACCACATGAGCAGGTTAATGGGACAAACTGGGGACTGTGCCTAGACTTACCCATAAAATGTCACTTAATTGGGAAATGGGCAAATAAAATCCCTTTCACACGTCCCCAGAGCACGTTTAGAAGCTTTACTGAAAAAAATGTTCCTACAGCTGCGTGTCTTCAGTGCCTGGAAAATTCAGGGGTTTGTTGTAATTTTTATTCTTCTTTACCCCCATCCTCAGGTGACATTTATTAGTCGTCGTGCAAATTGCCTTAATCTAAAGATGACAAGTTCCAGCAATAAAAATAGCAGCAGTTTTCCTATCTCCAAGTAATTATGTCCCTGCCTACTGTACACATTTGTCACCCTAATGCAGGAGCCCCTTGATGTTGCCACAGCCGTGTAATTTCTATATATATGAATATTCTATGATGAAAACGGGACAGATGGCTGGAAATTCTGCTTCAGAATAACATTTTCATGTAAATTATGCACTGTTTTGGCTTTAAGTGGGGAGAGAGAAGTGGCTATCAAGACGTGTTCAGCTAATTGTCAGCCATCAGCAATTAGCTGTTTCCCTCCTTGGTTCTTCCATCTCCCCAGGAGCAGGAAGACAACTGGAGGGAAGGTGGATTTTCAACTGTTGGGAATCAGTGTGGTTTCACTGATGATAATCTAGACCAGCAGAGGATCTGGCCTGTGCAATTCCCAGCAGCACATCCTCGTTTTCCTCCTTGTTGTGATGTTTTAGATGCTGCTGCATTAGCAAGTCCCGAGCCTTGGCTGCTTCCTTGCAAACTCAGTGCAAGTTAATGGAATGTTTTTATAAATATGTTTGTGGAAAATACCATTAAACTGTCTGTCTCTCAAAATAGCTTAATGCCAGCACGTTCAGTCTGTGGACTAACAAATCTGGGAATGTTTTCAGTCTTCCTGAGGGGCTTTATAAAGCAGGATCTCTTACCCCACCAATTCCCCCTGGGAAGTGGGAGGGAGGGAGAGGTTGACAAGCCCAGTTTTTTGGCAGAAATTAACAATTAGAATGCACAGGGAGCTGGTTTTCAAGAACAATCCTTTGCAGAGACAGTCACTGGGCCAGCTGTGTTTCCTGGCTGGAGCTGGGCCAGCAGGGATGGGCTTTGGTGGTGTCTCCAGCACCACCCCTGGGGGGGATCAGCCACTGTCCAGCTCCCAGAGCTGCCCCCTCTGTCACCAGTGGTTCCTCTCCTCCATCTCCTTCCCACACTGGCTTTACAGAGGTGTTGAAAGCATTTTCCCACTCCTCTCTCCTAATGCTGGGTTTCTTTGTCTTCCTAACAGGTCAGCGGACTGACTGCGCCCTAGCCAGGTAGGTGTGGCTCAGGGAATTAGATTTTTAAGGAAAATCTGATGCAAATTTATCATTCTAGATCAGTGACCAGCCCAGGACGTGTATCTGGTAGAAAATGATACTTATTTAGAACCATACAGTCGAATCCCAGAATGGTTTGTGTTGGAAGGGACCTTAAAGCTCATCTCATTCCATGCCCTGCCATGGGCAGGGACACCTCCCACTATCCCAGGTTACTCCAAGCCCTGTCCAGCCTTGAACAATTCCAGGGATGGGACATGGATTGAGCCAACACAGAAGCAAAGTCCTTTTCTTGCCCCGGTGCATTTAGTGCAGAACAATTGTGAGAACCCAGAGAATATTTTTCAGACTGAGATTTTTTTACAACCAAATTCCTGTTTCTTTAAGAGAGTTGGGCCCAGGGAGTCTTCAGGGCTTTATCCACATGGTTGGTGCCTGGAGTTGAGTAACATAAATTGGGAAACCCTTTATCCCCTTGACACTCTGCTGTGCCATGGAGCTGAATCCAACAGCACAGAGATGGTGGAGAATAAACTTTTCATTTATAATTAGGACCGATTGCAGAACCATAACCAAGCTCCTGATGGGCTTTTTGTAAAACATAACAAATCTCCATCCCCAAATTGATGGATTCAGGGGGCTCTGCTGGGCATGAGGAGCTGGAGCAGGGGCTGTGCATCATCCTGCCTCGTTAACAAAAGGAAGGTGATTACTACCAGTGTGGAGCCATTACTACTGTTCACATTCCTCACAGCAAAGCAAAGCTGACAGGTCCTAATTAGACCCTGACATCTGTAATAATAAAATATTATTCATCATGAAACAATTTGAAATATCAAAGAACCAGTCCTGCTAATAGTTTAAAATGGGCCTTGTTGTCTGTGACAGCCCGTGGAATCTGATTTTTTTTTTTTATTTTTTATTTTTCGTTCAGTGTTTTTGATTCTTTTATAGAAGGATTTTCCCCCCAAATTAACACATCGTACAGTCCTTTTAAAAATCACACTTCTGATCCCCTTATTTATAATTCAACAGCCATCTGCCCTGGCAGGGAATTGGCTGGAATGATCCATTAGGGCCTCTCTGCTATTATCTCTCTCGCTTCATTTTTACAAGAAACTAAAGGAATTTTAAACCCCAGTAAAAAATTTTGAAGGGGGGAAAAAATCCTGGCAAAGCAAGGCTTTTTCCCCTTTTTTTTCCTACCATTAATGTCCCCCCAACATCAATAAATGAGAGCAGACAGAAGAGGCTTAGCCTGGCTGGTGCGTGCTGGCGTTGGAGGGGCTTCGTGTTATTTATTTATTTGAAATCTTATCAAAACTGTAATAAGGACTCCTCAGTGGCAGCTGTTAAAAGCACAGTGGGAACCAGGCTGCTCCCTCCTGCTCTTCCAGGGAGCAGCTCAGTGCAATTTATATCAAACTTCATCTTCTCCGAGGAGCTCTCGTGCCGCAGAATTCCGCGGGGTCGGAATTAAAACGTCAAGGGCAATCTTTTGTCGGAGCTCCCTGGCGGCTGTTTCGGGGTTTTTTTAGTGATTTAAAGTCGCTTAAAATCTTCCTGGAGTTCCATAAATCCAAGGAGACCCTCGTCATTGTGATTGACTTGGATATCTGGCTCCTTCCCTGCTCCCAGACGTGGGTGGTTGGGAATGCGAAAGGAATGAGCTGGTGATGGGGGGGATTATCCTGACTGTTGTGTTCTGATTATCCTGACTGTTGTGTTCTGATTTTCCTGACTGTTGTGTTCTGATTTTCCTGACTCTTGTGTTCTGATTTTCCTGACTGTTGTGTTCTGTTTTTCCCTCCTGCACCCCCCTGGCTGGTTCTGACCCATCAGTGGCAGGCGCAGCTCCACCGTGAGGAAGCAGGTAATTAAGGTTTCCTTCACTAACGAAGCAGGGCTGTGGGGGGGGATTGGTGGAAAATAAATGTTTTCGTCCCTCTCTCTCTTCCATGGACCTTTTCAGCCTTGTCCAAGTGGTGTCTGCTCGTTCAGTGGCTGAAATCACTCAAAGCCTCGTTCATTTTCCCTGATAAAATATAAAATTAATTTTACTCCCCATTCTGGAACCAAAACCACCAAACAGCCCTGAGCTGTTTGGACAGCCCTGGTTTATGGGATTCGTGCTGTTGTCTCTTTGTCCCCATTCCCTTTATTTTCCCTGGAATCCCACTGCAATGCCATTAAACCTGTAACTGCTCACTTGTTGTGCCTTTATGTAATAAAGACTTACACGGGCAGGCTTTGTGTCCCTGGCTGTGGGGATAATCTGTTGCTTTTTGGTACCCAGTGAGCTCAAATGTGTTTCTCTGAGATAGGCAAAACTCAGAATTATCTCTGGTTGATACTGTGAAGTTAAAATTTGGCTTGGCATTTCAGTTCACAGAGCCTGTCTTGGGGTGCTAATTTGTAGTTTTTAGGATCTTGGAAATTATTATATAAGAGAGCCAGTTGTGGTGTCGGTGTGCAGAGTCAAACCTTTCTTATTTTTTATTCTTTTTTATTTTTCCCCTCTTCACTTTTACTGTCTCTACATTCTGACTGCTCTTTAAATGTCTCTTTGGGCAGGATTCCTCCCAAGCCATTCCCTTGGTTGTGGAGAGCTGCATCCGATTCATCAGCAGGCACGGTGAGTTTGGGGGGACTGAAGGTGTCCTGGGACATTCCTATAAAATGAAGGGATGTAGAAGCCTTATAAAAAATGTTCAGAGCAGCTCAGGACGTGCTGCTTGTGCAGAGCAATCCCAGAGATTGCAACATGAGGAAAATGGCTCTGACTTTCTGGCTGCATTGCTGGTTATTATGTGTATAATCACTTCTCTAAATAACTGACCTTGCAAATGTTGTTCTTCCCACAATATCCCTTTATTCCTTACAAAACAAGGTTCCCATCCATAGATACCACTCATTCCTCACCTCCACTCACCTCCCTTTGAGCCCTAAGTGTGGCCTTCACCAACAACAATCATCCCCTTCCCAGAGGGGGAGGAATACTCTGAATATTTGAATGTGGGAGGTCAAGTGGGGAATTAATTGCCCACTTACTGCCACAGCAAGATGATTTATGCCTGTTTTGAAGGTTAACTTCACAGCCTTGAATGCTATACATTTCTTGTAATTTGTTTTCACTTTTAATTGATATCATTTGTTAGTAGTGTGTGGAACAGCTGTTAATTAACAGATGTAGAAAGGGGTTGAATTTATCTTCATTACCCAAGATGCAGGGCCGGGTAGTAGGTCCTGTTTCAGTTTTTCCTTGTTTCATCACCATTTTAGAAACTATGATCTAGAGTCCCATTCTCATCATCACTTGGAAGATCATCCCAAGTGCTGTAATCCTTCTTTAAGGCCATACCTGGATATTTGGTGGAAAAAAAATCATTGCAACCACGTTGCAGGGGGAACTGAGGCAGGATAAATCAGGGAGATGACACTTTTCAGACTCATATCGCTGGGTTAGCTCGGATTTTCCAAGAGACTCGATGGATTCGTGCACAGAATGTCAGGCCATGGTGCGAGGCACAGTTTGGAATTAGAAGGAAGGTGTTTTACACAGCAAAGCCACGTGAGGCAGCAGAACTGGTGCGATTGCCTGACGCGCTCACACGCGGGGATGGATTTGTTGGAGGTGGCCTGACATTTCCAAGTGTTTGGCTGTGTAGGTGTGGGATGAATGTGGGTTTCATTCTTTTTTTTTTTCTCTCCACGCTGGGAATTGTTTCTTCCCTCTGTAGCTGTGGTGAGCCACACGCTGCAATGGGATAAAACCCCTCGGAGGGTGGGGAGGGAGAGGCCACAGGTGCATCCGGGAGAGTTTATTATTGATGGCCATTATTATGGATATGTGTGATGGGAAAGGGTCTGGAGGGGCCACAGGAGGAGTGGCTGAGGTCCCTTGGCTTGTTCAGCTGGAGAAGAGGAGACTGAGGGGAGACTCATCAGGGGTTGCAGCTCCTCATGAGGGGCAGCTCCGATCTCTGCTCCCTGTGAGCAGGGCCAGGACCCAGGGAAGGGCTGGAGCTGTGTCAGGACAGGGTTAGGTTGGATCCCAGGAAAAGGTTCTTCCCCCAGAGGCTGTTTGGGCACTGACCAGGCTCCCCAGGGCAGTGGTCACAGCCCCAAGGCTGCCAGAGCTCCAGGAGGGTTTGGACAACGCTCTCAGGCACAGGGTGGGATTTTGGGGTGTCCTGTGCAGGGTCAGGAGCTGGACTGGATGATCCCTGTAGGTCCCTTCCAGCTCAGGATATTCCGTGATTCTGTTATAAGTAAAACAAAGACATTACAGCATTCCTGGTTTCAGAAAGTCCACAGAGGAGGGAGGCTGGAGGGAACGAGAGCTGCTTTCCCTTGCTCATGAGTTGATTTGTGGCAGTTGTTGCTCGTCTTACACGTACCAACAAAACTGTTTTGATGGGAGTGTATTGGAATATCCCATCTACTTGACAAAATAATGACATTCCTAATGCTCACTTTTTAGCAGGAATGTCTTTAAGCCTGTCCTAAGCCCGTGGGTCGTGCTGGGAGTAATTAAATGCTTCCGTTTCAAGTGGCTGATTTGCTCCGGGCCTGGGCGGAATCGCTCCTGCAAAATAAACATCGTGCTCGTGGCACTGGCCATATTTTACTCCTGGCTGATACACCGTTAGTTTATGACTTTCTCTGGGTTGTAAAATCCTTTGGGGATCCCCCCAGGATAAAGGATAACATGGTTGTTATAGCCCAGTTGCTGCGGTGGTTTAGGAAGAAGGGTTAATATTTGCTCTGTCTGTGCTGAGTTCTGATTTTACATATTCTGTACATGCCTGGACAGAAGAGAGAAGTGGCTTTAAATCAGCATCCTTCTGCCTGTGTTCTTATCTTTCCTTTATTGTATGAGCTGTAGCTGCTGAAGGTGCCACCTTGTCTAATCTATCTTATCTTGTTGTTATCAGCATCTCTCGCTGTCTTACAGGTTTGCAGCATGAAGGAATATTCCGGGTGTCTGGGTCACAAGTTGAAGTGAACGACATAAAAAATGCATTTGAGAGAGGTAAGGAAGTATCTCAGAAACTATTGCCAAATGTATGTTTGTTTAAATTTGTTTGAATGCCCTGAAATGGCCTGTTTTGAATGCGACTTGCTCTCTTTTATCCCTTTGATTTTTGTATTTTCGAAGTGAGTCTCCCAAACGCTTCCCTAGTGCTCATTAACCTTGAATTCTCAGTTGTTTGGTTTTATGCTTTGTACCTTGTAGAGTGTCTGTATAATAAATATTCTGAATTCAATCTTCTCTCATGTCTGATAGCTTATTGATCATTTGTAACACTAAAGGACGAGGAGAATTTCATTATTAGGTGTAACTGCAATTTCCTCCCCTCTCCCCCCAGCCCTTTGTGAACAGATTGGCTGCTAGAGGATGAAATTTTGTGTTTTCCACGTTGTTGAGGCACAGCTTGGCCACATTTATTTTAAATATCAGCGAGGGAGAGAATAAATTTCGAGGCGCCGTTAATTTGAAATCGCTTTTAATAGATTCGATTTTCTGTGGGAAAGAGCCATTCCTTACAAAGGCAGAGAGCAGTTGGGAGCCTCCTGACTCATCAGCTCCTTGCTGGGCTGTTCTCCCTGGCAGAGCAGGTTCAGAAGAGCTGCTTTTCAGGCAGTTCCTGCAGCTCATCTCCCCAGTCCTGCCTGGGTCACTGGGAACAACAGGCCTTGTGTTAATCCCCCGAATGCATCACTCTCAAAGAACAGAGTCAGTGTGTTCCTGTGCTTGCTGGTGGAAGAGACAAGCAGTAATTAATTAAGCGTTGCAAGTTTATTCTGCTTTTGGGAAGAGAGATGCTTAATGAACAACATTTGTGAAATGTGGTGTGTGATGTCACCTGTCCTCACATCCATGGATTAAAATCCTCGAGAACAGAGGAAGCAGAAATGTGTGTCACAGCAAGGAAGAGGCTTGATATCAGAATCAGACCCTTTTTTACATAAAGAAATACCAGTCAGCTTGGGAAAATAACCAAATAACCACTTGTTCCAGCACTGACGTGCAGAAGTAAAAAGGGGATTTTTTTTTTTTTTTTTTTTAGTTCCTCTCACTTGTCTCTGTAAAGCCAATGATATACAGAACTGCCAAAGTTAACAATAAGATTCCTGCATTTTATTACTTCATCCAGAGCCCTTGGTGGCAGTTAATATCAGGGATAATGCTCCAGTTTGGAGTGGCCCATTTATTATCCCGTGTGTTATTAAGATAATAGGCAAGCTTTGGTAATTTCAGTCACATAATGGATATATATAGCTTCAATTTGAGGATTGCCCCATCATTAAATCTAATTATGTCTGATAGGGAGTTTTCCCTAGGGGACAACTCCTTAAGTGGGCATCTTTCCTTTGGTAATACAGACAAACTGTGGCATCTCTGCAGCAACAAATTATCCCAGAAATGTTCCCACCCCAGTTCCCCACGTCTGCATCCTGCTGAGCCAGGGCTGGGATGCTTCTTGTGCATCCCCTGCATCCACCTGAGCTGCAGCTGGGAGTTTGCCTCGTGGAACATTTCACCTCCCTGGCGGGTCTGTGATGTTCCCACCCTTCCAAAATCCCTGGAGTGTCACTCTTGCTCCAGGACCTCCGGTGCCACACTGAAATCTGGCTGAGAGAAGCTGCCCCAGGTCTCCTGGGATTGCTGTCAGAGCTTCCCACCTCTCTGCCTCGCTCTGGTTGTAGGTGGGATTAACATAAATCCTTTTCTCCTGCAGAGGTGCATCCTTCCAGTATTCTGATGCTTTTCTCCAGTATTCTGATTTTTTTTTTCTTGCCTACTTTTCTTTCCTTTCACGAAGGGGAAGATCCCTTGGCTGGGGACCAGAATGACCACGACATGGATTCAATAGCAGGAGTCCTGAAGCTCTATTTTCGAGGGCTGGAGCACCCACTCTTCCCCAAGGATATCTTTCATGATCTGATTGCCTGTGTCAGTAAGTACATGAAGAGCTGAAAAGAAATAGGGCTGATTTTTTTTCTGGTATCCTACTTTTCTTTCTTCCCTTCCCCTTTTTTTTCCTGATTCCAGAATAAGGGTTTTGTGGTTACTTTGGTTGTTGCCCTGGCATCCTCTGTTAGGCAGCCTGGGCAGTTACCTGGTCACAGCCATCCTTGCTCTGATCTGAATGAACAAGGAGATGGAAATGAGCAGATTTGAAGGTCTGTGTGATGGATTTTTGTGACGGGATTCTTTTGAAACAGAATAAAGCAAAAAGCTTCACTCCTGTAAAATGATCTCTACGACGTGTCACCAGGAGATGTCAGAAAGGCCCTGTCAGAGGCAGGGATCACCAGCAGCCTTGTCTGCTTTCCCTGGATGTGCTGCCATGCTCTGTGTGCTCTCCTTAGCTGACAAGGTACCACTTATATTCCTTTTAGCTTCGTAACCACGAGGGACCATCTTCTGACTCCTGTTAGAGAATATCAATCATCAGGGCGGTCACAGCCGAGCTTTTAACATCCTTGGTGGTTTCTAAAGGTGCTTCTGGTAGGCAGAGAGTTGTTTGTGGTTTTTCCTATGTGAAACAACCTCATCTGAAGCGGCCTGGCCCTTGCCACGTCCTCCAGAAAATTGAAGAATGATTCTATTGTCTGAGCAGAGGAATGGCCCTTGTGGTGGCAGCCTTTGAAGTGGAGCAGAAGATAACTGCTGCTGATATGGCTCGTGGTTCTCTGCTCCTGAGAAATGCATTTGCAGAGTTGAATTCACATTAGGGGGGAGAAGTAAAATCCGCTTCCAAATAACTTCTCCCTTCTCGGATGATTTATGCTGCCCACTTATTTCTCAGCAGGCTGCTGCACACAGAGCCTTTCGCCTCACCCTTTAACTATGTTAATTTTCCTTCTGAGCGTTACACAGTTTCTTTTTTAAACACCCACCTTTCTAAGCAAAGACTTGAAGGAGCCATTGTGCCAGAACTATTGGAACAGATGACATCCAGAGCTCCCACGCTGGGAAGGAACTTGCAGTGAAGTTTCACGTGTTCAGGGACCTTCACTGTCAAAGGCTTTGCCAGCAGGTTCTGCAGCCTTTGCGTTCCCGTGCCAGGCAGCGCTGGAGCATCCCGAAAAATGGGCAAAATTCCTTCCTCCTGCTGCTGCTCTGCTGCCCAAGGGAGCCATCACAGTGCACTGGACCCAGTGGCAGGTGGTGGGTTTGGTGGGATGATGACTCTGGTGCTCTTTCTTCCTTTCAGCAATGGATAATTTACAGGAGAGAGCCCTGCACGTCCGGAAGGTGCTGCTGAACCTGCCCAAGACCACCCTGATTGTGATGAGATACCTCTTTGCATTCCTCAATCAGTGAGTGTCCTTGGGAGCACCAGGGCTCTGCTGCAGGACCTGCTGTAAACACAGAACCATTGAGGTTGGAGAAGACCTCAAAGGTTGTGGAGTCCAACCATTCCCCCTTGGCACTGCCAAGGCCGTCACTGACCCGTGTCCCCAAGGGCCCCATCCCCATGGCTTTTAAATCCCTCCAGGGGTGGGGACTCAAGATCATGGTTTGGGTTGGAGGGGACCTTAAAGCCACGGGCAGGGACACCTTCCACTAGCCCAGGTTGCTCCAAGCCCTGTCCAACCTTGGTCTTGGACACTTCCAGGGATGGGGCAGCCACAGCTTCTCTGGGCAACCTGTGCCAGGGCCTCCCCACCCTCCCAGGGAACAATTTCTTCCCAATATCCAATCTGAACCTACTCTTTCCATTTACATCCATGGCAGAGGGGATCTGTAGCTCTGGTATTGAGTGTTGGGGCTCAGAACAGCAATAATAAAGGAATAAAGACAGAGATTAATGTGCTGCCCTTATAAAGTCAGCACTCAGTCCTTTTCACATAGTCTTGAGCTTTCAAGCTCCCTTGTGGTTTCTATTTAATTTCTCTGTAAATGCCATCAGTATCTCGTTTTTTACCTGGATCCAGGGCATTCATGTCCCTGAATCAGCTAAAGCTCATCAGCTTTAGAGAGCAGAAAGCCCAAAGCAAACCTTCTGAGCTCAGCTGTGTGTTCTGCAGCAGAGGAGGATGATGATGATGATGATGTTTTCTGCTGTTCACCCTCCTTCCCACTTGTGTTTTCTTTTGCAGTTTATCTCAGTTCAGTGAAGAAAACATGATGGATCCCTACAATTTAGCCATCTGCTTTGGGCCAACGCTGATGTCAGTGCCTGAAGGTCACGACCAAGTCTCTTGCCAGGCTCATGTCAATGAATTGATCAAAACCATCATCATCCAACATGAGAACATCTTCCCAGGCCCAAGGGAGCTGGAGGGTCCAGTCTATAGCAGAGGTGGAAGCACAGAGGATTACTGGTATGATGGGTACCACTGAGGAGGAGATGAATGGGTGGATGTTTATCTGTGGATTGGCATGTTACAGTCATGAGTTCTGCCTCCTCTAATTCAGGATTGGAGCATCTGGCCCAGCCTTTCAAAAATCTGTTTTATGGAAGAGAAGATGGCTCTGGTATCTCTGGAGAGCCATCGACTCAAAAGAAATAAGCTGGTATAAAGTAGCTATTCAGTTGTCAAACCCAGCTCACTTATCTTGAAGGGCAAGGTTGTGTAGGGATTTTCTTGGCTATTCTGGTTTGGTAGCTGCCAAAATCAATCTCTTTTTTAGTTGTTGTTTGTTTTTTTCCCCCCTTCTTTTTTCTTTTTTATTTTTTTTCCCTCCTGCTTTTGCCTTTCCTTTCTGCCTTTGCTGCAGACCCAGGGGTCACTGGCAGCTGAACCTCGAAGGCTGTGGCACTGGTATAATTTTCAGGGCTTGGTGGGGGAGGAGAGAGGCAGGAATGCAAAATCACCATTTCCATGCAGCCCAAAAGCTCCAGAGGCCCGGCCGCGCGCTCGGGCTGAAGCCACATCTGGAAGCAATTCAGGCAGAGCGGCTCCTGTCATCTGGGGTGGAAGGTTGGGGAGTGGGGGAAGGAAAGGAGGTGTTTTCTTTCCTACTGGCCAAGCTGATCTCTCCCTCTGAAGATGAGGAATGTTAAATTGTGTCCTGCTTCTCCCCCCCTCCCCTGCCCCGGCTCCTTCTCTCCTTCGATGCCCCAGGAATGCAAATGATTATTTTCGTGTGCTAAAATAAATACGTTTTTTTTAATGAAGTCACTGTGGTGACAGAGCAAGCCTTGTTTCCCCTGGCTTGTTTCAGAGTAGCTGTAGCTATCAGCTCACTCCTTGAATGTGTGGCAAGGAGAGGCTCCTCTCAACTAACTGCTGTGTGCTGAAGACTTGCCAAAACCTTTTGGAAATTCTCTTTAATTTTACCCTTCGCTCTGATGCTTTTAGCTGATGTTACATGTGAAAGAATTGTAAGGGAGGGGAAAAAAAAACAACCCAACTTAGTAATATTTATGACCTTGAGGAAAGACATCAACTTTGACAGGAGGGAATAAAACTGTGCAGTGTTGAGTACCCTCAGTTTGGGTGTCACTGCACAGGAGTGTGGGGGAGGCACAATGGCCTGGAAGGTGATATCAGCTTTGGTTTTCCTTCCTTGCCCTTCCTAAGCACCCTGACCTGGGACCCTGTTAAGCAGAGAAAGGGGAGAAGCAAGCAGAGGAGGCTGCTGGAAGCCAGGAAGAAGCATCTGGTTCCCATTCCAGCTTTCTCATAGTCCTGGTATTTCCAGAGTTGTTCGTTGTTGCCCGTGGGCTCCTCACTGTGCAGGCAGCAGAGGGAATCCTTGGGGTTCAGCTGATTCCTGCTGTAGCTGGGATATCCTGGTGCCACTTCATGGGTCAAGCCCTCTGGGAGCTCCCAGGAGGTGTTTTGGTGTGGAGTTGCTGGGGCTCAGCACCACGGCCCCCGCTCTGGGCTCCAGACCTGCACCCTCGCCTGGAGTTGGCAGAGCTGTGGAACAGCTTCCCCTGGGCAGAGCAGGGTAGGGCAAGGTTCAGAGTTTGTCATCAGCTTTGAAATCCTGCCTGTGAGTCAGGCCTGGGCCGTGATGCGTCTGTCTGTCTGTCTGAGACTGCTCAGGGAGAGTCCAGGAGACCCACAAGTGAGGCCGTGGGAATGGCAGGGAAGGAGATAGAGTGTGGATGAATCATGGAATATCCTGAGTTGGGAGGGACCCACAGGGATCATTGAGTCCAACCCCTGGCCCTGCACAGGACACCCCAAAATCCCACCCTGTCCCTGAGAGCGTTGTCCAAACCCTCCTGGAGCTCTGGCAGCCTTGGGGCTGTGCCCACTGCCCTGGGGAGCCTGGTCAGTGCCCGACCACCCTCTGGGGGAAGAATCTTTCCCTGAGATCCAACCTGACCCTGCCCTGGCACAGCTCCAAGTCCTGTCCCTGCTCACAGGGAGCAGAGATTGTTGCTGCCCCTCCACTGCCCCGAGTGACTCCACTCTCACAGTGTTCCTCTGCCAGCATTTGTTGTTCTCACTTTTGGAGCCCTCAGGGTGAAACCCAGTGCTTCCCACTGCAGCATCCCGGGGCTCTCACCTCAGAGTCAGCAGTAAGGATGGGTTTTTTGGTGGAAAATGCTGCTGGAGGCATGGATAGGAGGAGGCACGTGGCCTTTGTGCAGCGTTTGGAGCTGTGTGCGACATGACTTCAGAGTCTGTGTGAAACCTTAGCCCTCAGTGCTGCCTTCCTTCCTCCTGGGGCCTCCATTTGGCTGCAGATTCTTCTCTAAACTTTATGAAGTAGCACAAAGGCTTTGCAAAGGATGGGAAAGGTTGATTCCAGAGGTGCTGGCTCAGGAGATGTTGGACAGCTTGGTGTCCTGTGGATTAAGCATAACGAGACACCAGAATTACTCAAACACTTCACCCCTTCTCCTTTTTCTGTTTTTCTCCTCTTTTTAAAAGAGTGCAGGAGGGGGATTGCCAGGGGGAGAGCACTCCACATCCACAGTCACTTATTTTAACCACAGCAAGACCAAAATGAGGGATGAAGTTATTCCTATGTGAGGAGAATTAAAAATCACCTTTTAGGAGTTACAGTGTGAGAGGGCAGCAAACGAGTTTTCTTTAGCAACAGAGTCTGCTAAGATGAAGAGCAAGCACTATTTTTTTTTATCCCTTTTTTTCCTCCTGAGAGGAGCAGGCAGGGCAGGCAGGCAGGGCTGCCAGCTGGCAGCAGCTCCACAGAACTGCTTGGGAGAGGCAATGGATCCTCTTCCAGCTTCCTTTCTGCTCCTGTCCAGAGGGAACTGCTCGTGCAGCTTCTTACAAAAACATAACCTTTGGTTGCCACTTGTTGTCTATTGATCCTTCCAAGGCTTTTCTTCTTGCCAAACATAAATGAGTCCTCTTGGTGGTTTAGGTGCTCTGGAATCTTTATTTACAGGCAATTAATCAGGCCACGGGAGTTGTTCAGTGAAATGAATGGAACAATTTAAAATGGTGATAAAAGGGATGGAGGGAGATGACAAACACAGACCTGAAAATATCATTATGAATCGAGAAATGATTTCCCCCAGGAAGTGGCAGCTTTCTCATCAACCATCTAATGAGCTAATTAGAGCAGTGGAGAACAGAGCTGAGGGAATAATCCTGGCATGGCAGAGAGGAGCTGGACCCAGCTTGCCCCTGCTGCCTGACTGCTCAGCATCTCCAGAGGTCCAGGTTGTAAGAGTTGAAGTTGGACTGCTGACAGCACACGAGAAGGGTAACCTGGATGTTTGGGTTGGTTGATCAAATAAGAATTCAGCTTGATTTTCAGGCACACTGACTTCAGCACGTGCAGATGCACCGCAGAGCGTCGCAGTGGAGCCTAAATGTTGGCTCCCCACGTGGATGTTCCCAGTTATATCTGATGGCTGTGATGAGGAAACTCAGTTTCCATCAGTCTAAATCACTGTCCCTGTTTCCTTCTGTTGCAGTGAGAGTCCCCATGGAGAGAGAGCCTCCACAGAAGACTCGGTGCAGGACGTCACGGCCGAGCACCACACCAGTGATGATGGTATGCAAAGCCTCTGAGCTGCTGGGATAACTGGTGCAGCCAGCCCTGGGGGAGGCAGGGAGGGAAGTGCCTTGGAATTGAGGTTTAAAGTTAGCTCCAAAGTGGAGTTTGAGTCAGAACAGTTGCTCGAAACATCACATTGGCAGCGTTTGGTGCCAAGAAGTAAAAAGGTGTAGGATCACAGGGAGCTGTAGAAGTTACCTGAGTGTTTTGAAAGCATCCTTTCTTCTCAGAGGTTGTCTCTTCTTAGCAGAAGGCCTGGGCACACTCCAGGCTTGGATTTGGAAGTCAAGGTGGAAGCACAGAGCCAAAGGCTGGATGTGTTCCATCATGCTCTCCCACTCCTCTGCCTGTACCAGGCATTTCCCCTTTTGGGAGCTCTGGCAGGGGGTTCTGAGTGCTCTGAGCCCCAGTGGTTCTGCTGTAAAGAAGGGAGCAAAACAAAGTCAAAAACCCGTTTGTCTTCCACTCACAGCCAGGTTTTAGGGTGGGGAGTCCTGAGGGCCTCTCTCATTGATAATTTTTGGGTTTCCTTGGGGACCTCTGTGACATTTCTGGTCTGATCAGTGAAAAGAGGAGAGAATTTCACAGTATTTCCTAAGGAGAAGGTGACACTGCAGTTGTGAGTGTCTGTTGTTGATACTTCCCAAGCCTCCTCCTGTGACAGGGAACATCCTGTGAGCCCCATCCAGAGCAGAGGAAAGATTAAATTACTGGTGTGCAACAATGATGCCTGGAATACTGAGCAGCATGGAGAGCAGACTGACCCAACCAGCACAGAGTATGATTTTATTCTTGCATTTAGACCCTTTGCAGTTGTCTATGCGAGTTCTGTGATGGTTTTACTTGTGACCTCAGTTGTAAAGGTGGGAAATAGTTACCACTCCCTTAAAATCAGGTGTCATCCTCTTTTGAGCTGGTCAGGAATTTGCTCAGCAGCCCTGCCAGGTGCTCCTGTGCTGCCTCTCTGCTTCAGCAGTTGCCCAACAAACCCTTCCCAAGACATCCCTGGGCTCCCACTGGTTTCATGGCTCGGTGATCTTAAAGGTCTTTTCCAGCCTAAGTGATCCTGGGATTCTCTAGTGTTCACACACCAGTGGTGAAGTAAAGGATGTTTAGAAATGCTGGGAAATCAGTTCTCCCTCAGCATGGTCAAGCACTGGCACAGTGATTCCTCACCAAGGTTGTTGGGAGGGAGCACAAAGCCTGTGGGAATGAAACATGAGCTCGCTCTCTGTCTCGAACAGAGTGTTCTGTCTGACAAGTGTTAGCTCTTAAAAATGCATGAAAATGTGTCCTTTTGGAGTTTGTATCTAAGAAAGAGCAATTTAATAGCTGCGAGGAAGGACAGGCCAACTCATCCCACATCTGCATACAGCCTGGGACTAAAGCCTGCAGGCTCCCACACTGGGGTGGGCACTGGGGCTGTTTCTGGAGGGGATTTTTAGGTCTCTTCTGTGACTGAAGGGGGGACAATAGTGAGAAATGAGGAGTTAGAGATGAGAGAAGGACACTGTTCTGCAGCCTCTGGAACTCGATCGCGTGGGGCCCCCGAGCAAGGTAAAACTGGGAGGTGTTTTGGATGGAGTTCTGCATCCTACATGGAATATTCCATAGGAAGCATTTGGGAGGGAGCCTTTGGCACTGAAGCAGAGGAGGGAGCTGGGGCTGTATCTCTTTGAGGGAGCTGCAGGGTCTGGTTAAGTGAGGAATCTCATGTCCTAACTGAGCTGTGCAGAGTCACACCTTGCTCATACCTGTCAGCAGTGCAGGTACAGCACCAGGACTCTGGGATGGGTGTTCCTGGGTTTTTCTCCCTCCTTCAGTCTTTAGATTCTTTAGCACTTGCTTCTTAAGCTCTTTTGTGAGCCTGGCACTAATCTTCCCAAAGCAAAGCTGTCATCCCAGCCACCCTCACTGAAGGAAGGAATTTTGGGGTGAGGGGAAAGAGGTCATGTTTTGAAGAGCATCCAAGCTGTTCTGCAGCCTCACTGTACAAGTGAGAGGACACTCTGGTTTGAGACAGGTATAAGAGGTCAGAAATGCTGAAAAACAAGCAGATTATATGTTTGTTAAATTACACATATGAGTGGAAACATTTGAATCTGCTGCTTTCCTGCCCAGGCTCTCAGCCTGGCAGGGGGAATTGTTTGGCTTAGCCTTATTGCTCTTTATTCACACAGCTTTCTTGTCTGAAAGTGTAGTAGGAAAAAAGCTACTGGAAATTAAAGTCTAAAATCAGTTCTCTGGAGAAGAGCCAGAGTCCTAAAAAGCAAATTGGAAACATAAGAAACCTGAGTGCCGCTCTCATCTGGAACAATAAACACTTCCTAATGAAACAGATGGAATGTACCAAACCACACTCCCATCCCTTTCCTAAATGCAGGGGGGACACCAGAAAGCAGCATAATTGGGGTTTTTAGTGTTAGGAAGAAACTGGCTCCAGAGGCAAAACAAGCAAGAGGAAAGAAGGAGCCAAACAGGGCTCACCACGTGCTTCGGGCAGTTGAGAGCTGCCAACATGGGCCAGGCTTTTCCCACCCTTCCAAATCCCTGCCTGGTTGCTGAGGGCTGATAATGGGATTTTGTGTGAGGCTGACCCACAGGCTTACCTGAAATGTGTGGTTGAGAGAATTCTGAGCTGTTGGGTTTAGCAATGGAGGAATTATTGTTGGGGGGTGGATCTGACTGATCTTGTTGCCATTTGCCCTCAGTCCTTGGTCACTTTGTGCTGGGTAACTCAGATGCTGGTGGGGCTTTTTGGGGGATGAGATGCTTCTGCTCTGCTCCCTCAGCTTGGTTGATGAGGTTCAGCCACATATTCACCATTTATTTTATCAAGCCTTGCCTGCCTGTGAACAGACATGGAGACCCAATTCTTGAGCATCTGCTCTCCCAAGGAATAACTGCAAAAGCTGTGGCTCATGTTTGGCCTTCCAGTGTTATTTGTATGGCTCTTGCACTGTAGAAGCTTCCTGTGATGCAGGGGAGATCTCTATATGGAATACTGGACCTTTCCTGGTCCGGGAAGAGGAAGCACAACTCTTTTTCTCCAGGAAAGAACTCAAATTTCCATGGACTGCTTAGCTGTGCTAAAGCTCCTTTAAAGTAAGAAGCAAGTCCACTGGGGCTGTGTGGTTGAGCTCATCCCCATTCCCCTGATTCCTGCCTAGAATTGGGAGCTGGCTTAATATATATTTAGACTCAACCAGTGTCAAAATTTCAAAGTCTTACAAATAATCCGCATGAATTTCATATTGATCTTCCTGAGTGTCTAAATGCCCTTATTGTCCCTCTGTATAATATCAGAGTCCTGCAGGGACCTGGATTAGTGGCTGGTTGCAGACAGGGCATGGCTGGAGCTCGTCTGTGAGCTTTGCAGGCAGGTTTGGAGCACGTTGGGCAGCTCCAGGCGTGATCCCTCCGTGCTCGGCGGACCCGGAGCATCCCAGCTGGATGGAGCTGGGAAGCAGCTCACCCTCCCCATCACTGCACAAAGCACAGCAGTGGAGGCCCTGGATGTTTTCCTGAGCTTCCATGACAGTTGGATGAATAGCACGGCCTCCCACGGTGCCAGAATCCGGTCTCCTGGGTCAGGTGAACCTCGCAGGCAGCAGAGATTTCCCTCTGAATAGACCCTTTATTTCTGAAGCAGCTTGGAATGAGAGGATGTTTCCCTCCCCAAATGCTAATAACAACTCCTGCCTGCCTGGGAGGTTCAGCTTAGCTGCCTTGAAGGAAGTGTACCATAGGCAGATCGTTGTCTGGAACACACCTGGTTGCTACCCAGCTTTGAAATGCTTTTTGGTTCAAGGAGACACTAATTTTGCCATTGCCACTTCCATGGCAATGTAGGCTTGAATCGCTGTGAGTGGGTTTATGACTTGGAAAACATGGATGCAGAGATCAGGCAAATGCTAAAAGTGCAAAGTCCACACGTTTTGGGGGAGTTCCCCTCTGAATTTTGCTGCTTCAAAACACTGCAGCCTTAAGCAGCAACACTTCATCCTCTTCGTGCTCTCGCCTACGGGTTTAAACAGCTGATACTTAATAAACCCAAATGTTTAGTGAATTGTTGTTTGTTCCCTTCTGTCTCCTTAGAGTGTGAGCCCATAGAAGCAATAGCAAAGTTTGACTACCTTGGCAGGACAGCACGAGAGCTGTCCTTCAAAAAAGGAGCCTCCCTCCTGCTCTACCAGCGGGCCTCGGACGACTGGTGGGAGGGACGGCACAACGGGATCGACGGCCTCATCCCCCACCAGTACATCGTCGTCCAGGACACGTATGTGACACCCTGGCCTTGCCCAAAAACTCGGGTGTGGAGGGGAGTGTTTGTGCCCAGGTGTTGGCACCAGGTGGGGGCAGTTCCTCCTTCAGCCCCCCCTGCGGGAAGGGGAGCGAGCAGAGCTCGGGGAGGTGTCGGTGCCCAGGGGTGTGGAGGTGTCAGAATGGTTCTGGTGCCTGGGAAAGATGCAAAGCTGGGATCTGCAGGTTGCTCACAGGAGTCAGGCTCTCAGGCTGGAGGGGGATTTTTCAAGGGGGAATGGCCTTAAGCTGCAGGAGGGCAGGTTTAGGTTGGATATCAGGAGAAAATTCCTCCCTGTGAGGGTGGGGAGGCCCTGGCACGGGTTGCTCAGAGAAGCTGTGGCTGCCCCTGGATCCCTGGAAGTGTCCAAGGCCAGGTTGGACGGGGCTTGGAGCAACCTGGGCTAGTGGAAGGTGTCCCTGCCCATGGCAGGGGGAGTGGAACTGGATAATCTTGAAGATCCCTTCCAGAAAACCATTCTATGATTTGAAAGATGATTCTTAAGAGAAAGACACCAGCACTGTGCTGCTGCCCCATGTGTGTGTTTTCATGCACAGTGCTGCATTTGAAATTCAGTGCTGTTGGTCCTGTTCTGGTTGTGATGTGCTTCCCTCCTCCTTCCTAGTGAGGATGGAATCTCAGAAAGGTCCAGCCCGAAGTCTGAAATAGAAATAAACTCTGAGCCACCGGAAGAAAAAGTGACAGCCAGAGCTGGTGCCAGCTGCCCGAGCGGGGGGCACGTCGCAGATATTTACCTTGCAAACATCAACAAGTAAGAACAGCCTTGCATTGTTTTCCTGAACTGTAAAGAGCTTGGTGGTGAGCCCAGTGAAATACTTCCTTCCCTGACAAAGGTTCATTAACCAGCACTGCCACCATTCTTCTCTGCTTCCCCCTCTTCTAACCCACTCACGTTTTGCTGCCCGAGCTCTGTCACCAGTGTGGCCAATGCTCATTTAAAACCCCACTGGCTGCTCTTCCCTATCCCCAAGGTGCCATCTGTTCCTGTTTTCCCAAATATGCCCTATTTTACGAGCTAAGCAGAGGAAGGGAGGGGAATGGTGGAATGAGATCTTGTATCGTGCGTCCCCATTCGTTGTTGCGTTCCGTGATCTGTCGTGTCTTGTCCACATTTAACAAGTTTTGTTTGATGGGGTGGGGGGACAATTCCTTCGGAAACTGGTGTCCCATTTTGTGATAAATGCCATTCCTGAAGTCCCACCATCTGGCATTGCCTGTAACACTCTCTAGTTTCTCCAGCACTTCTCACCTCAGGTTACTAACCATATGCTTGCAGTGGAACAGCACAACCCCCTGTTGCTCTAACCTTACTTTCTCTACCAGAAATTGTTGCCTTAGCCAACACTCAACATAGTAAAAAAGCTGAAAAAACCAAGCCAGTAACAGACTAAATTTCATGATCTGTTATTTCATTTTTCTGAAGCAGACTTATCTTTCTGATCATTTCCTTAGCATTAAAACCCCCACATCTCTATTGTGCAGTGAAGGTATTATGTGATAATTACAGTTTGATGGGAGGGGATAGTCTTAACCTTCAGTTAATTTAACAGAATGTAGTCTATAAAGGCATTAACAGAAATGCATCCTTTTAAAAGGTTTGGACCTGCTTATGGCCTAGAGGGCCTGGTCTTTAGTTATGGGATTCAGCAGAGCTCCACTGATATCTTTGAAGCCATGTTAATCTGCATCAGCTTGGGATCTGGGCTTTCCTTTATGATATTTATTGTCTGAGCCACTGAAGTAGCCATTCTGCCAGTTTTGGAGAGATTTGTGTAATCACAGACCTATGTTGGAGCTTCACCATCTGCTGGCTTTGGTAGTGTTGTGTGTAGTGTTTTTAAGAAGCCTGGGTAATGTCCACTCCAGTTTTTTTTTTCCCTTTACTAGGGAACCTGATATTTAGCAACAGTAGCATAAGACTCATTTTGTTGTTTTTTCTTTAGGAATGAATCTTCTGACCTATGTGTGAACAGACTTGAGCAAAATTAAATCAGATGGTTTCGCAATGACAGTTGTGCCACCCACTGAATTATTATTTGGATGCCAAAATCCTACTGGAGTTAACACTTTCTTGCAGTTATTCATGGGGCTGGTGCTATATATAAATGGATCCTTCCCTGTATAATGGATGCCAAGCTTCAGACCTATGGCATAAAGTATTCTGCTGCATTGGCCTTCCTATGATTTGAGAGGAATCGTGCTGTCAGACCGCAAGGTGCTGGGGTAGAAACTAAATTCTTTGGAGCAGTTCATCCATTTGACATCATCTTTTGGTTTATCTGTAGCCCTGCATAGAAAAGTGCCTTGTGGTCCTGCCAGAGCCATGAAAAAGAACCACCTCTTACCACCAGCAAATATTGGAAATGATCATTAACCCCAAACTGGGGTTCTTTGCTTGCTGATCTCTGAAAATAATAACTTGATGCCTTGGGCCAGGAGCTTAGTAGACTTATACTGTGTCCTCCAGTCAAAAATTGTAGCTCTGCTCTTCGAATGTAATAAAAACACATCATCAAAACCTGTTGAAGGCACAGAGGGTTTTTTTTGTCTTCAAATACAGATTCTTTTCCTCTTGACCAAGTTAATCACGTTCCATCCAAGCTTTCTGGTTTTGCTCTGAACGTGCCCAGCTGCCAGAACTCAGCCTCGTTGTTAGAAGTGTTGAACTGGAACGATTTATAATTTCACTGTATCGCAACCACTCCTAAAATCCTGGGTGTGTTTGTAATCTGGGTTATCTTTTTATGTCTCTTCCCATTGTCCTCTGTGTTGTTTTTGGGGGGATATCTTCAAAAAAAATGACAGCTGGTTGTTTGTACCTGCTTGTATTGACTTGTTTTGCTTTTGTGACTGAAGGCAAAGAAAGAAACCAGAGTCAGGCAGCATCAGAAGAGCCTTCCGTCAAAGTGACAGCCATGGACTAGGTAGTTCACTGGCAGAACCAGCCTCCCCCGGAGCCATAGCCGGTTCCAGACCCTCATCTCAGCCCATTATGAGCCAAAGTCTTCCCAAGGAGGTTCCAGATAAATGCTCCATCAGTGGCCACGGCAGCCTCAATTCCATCAGCCGACACTCGTCGCTGAAGAACAGGATCGACAGCCCCCAGATCCGGAAAACTGTCACAGCAGGGAGGTCCAAGAGCTTCAACAACCACCGGCCCATGGACCCCGAGGTCATTGCACAGGTAAGGAGGAGGGGTTTGCCCTGAAGGCTTGGCTTGGAAATTTGAAGGATGTTTTAATGAGGTGTTTTAATGCGAAGTCTGATTTAATCTCGTGTCCGTTCCCTTCTGGGGGATGGACCATCTCTGTCATGGTGAGAGTCTGCAGGAGCTGGGCCTGGGTAGGCTGGAGAAGAGAAAACTGAGAGGGGATCTCGTCAATCCTTACAAATATCTCCAAGGGGTATCAGGGGATGGTGCCAGACTCTGTTCAGTGGTGCCCAGTGACAGGACAAAGAACCACAGCCATAAACTAAAACACAACAACTTCCACCTCAACTTGAGGAAGAATTTCTTTCCATGGAGGTGGCAGAGCCCTGGAACAGCTGCCCAGGGAGGGCGTGGAGTCTCTCTCTTTGGAGACATCCCAAATCCCTCTGGATGTGTTCACTGTGTCACCTGCTCCAGGTGACCCTCCCTTGGCAGGGGGGTTGGACTGGGTGATCTCCAGAAGTCCCTTCCAACCCCAACTACCCCGTGATTCTCTCAATGCAATATTAACTTACAACACAGCTTGAGTCTACCCTTTCATCCTTGCTTTGTGCAAAGCACTGAGGCTGCTTTCATGAGGGAATATAAACAGTCAGCTCCTTCCTCCATAAAAACTTGGCCCTGTTCATTATTCAGAATTTAATTTCAGCAATAAAAAGCGTCCATTTCAGAAAGTGACACAGATTTCAAAGCTGTCAGCAAGGAATTAAACAATCACAACTCCAAGACCCGAGGAAAGCGAAGTATTTAGCGTCGACTTAACATTCTCCTGTCAGTTGTGCAGACTTGCCTGTGGTGAGACATTGGAAGCACATGGAGCAGCACAGCCAAAATAAAAGCAGGCTGCTGACTCCTTCAGTGCTCCAGTGGCATCTTTATATGCTCACAGGCTTCAGAACCCAACTCTGAACATAATCCTGCTGCTTTTCACGAGCTGTTTATTCAGGCAAGTGCCTTGAAGTGAAGGGCAGGCTGCAAAAGATGTAAATGTTACCAATTTCCCTCTTCCATGAAGGATCTGCCCTGGTGGATGTGCCTGCACTTGCACGTTGCCCGTACCAACTGTTTGCAGTATGGGATGGATGCATCTGTGTAAAGCCAAGGAATGCTCCAGGCTCGGATTACAAAGCCAGCCCTGGGAGACCTGACTGCTCTGCCTGGTTCAGGACTCTGGAGGTTTCTAAGGAGGGGAAAATATGTGAAAATTAAACGTAATTTTTATTGACAAAACAGCAACTCCAAATAATAAATAAACCCAAATTAAAACCTGATGGGTGTTCTGATGGAAGGTTGTATTTTGCTGTTATGAGTATCTTTAGCCCATTTGTTACAGTGGAATTATAATATACAGCTCCTGCTGCCTTCATATTTCCCTGTCCTTCCAGGGCTTTGGTTGATATAAATCAGATTCTTTGTTTTATCAATTAGGATCTCCTCTCCCTACCAGAACACACACTCCATTGTTTCACTGGAGAAGAGTCTGGGGAGAAAAAGGAACGAGGAGGGGAAAATAAATAAAAAAGAGGAGGGAGAAAAAAATCAGACTGTGTTAAATCAGTGCTTCTCTCTGCCCTGTGACATCTTTTCAGACACCATCTAATAACCCTTGTGCATCTTACATATTCCCTCAAACACTTAACTAAAATCTGCCTGGCCTCAGGACAGACTGGGAGGTGTCAGATTACTGTCTCTGCTTTATTCCACCATTCCTTGACTGATTTACCTTCCCCACCCCCTGGAAAACCTCGGGAGGAAGCTGAAGAGCTGTGGCCAAAGTGTGAGTCAGAGCAGGGCTGAGCTCTGCTGCTCCCCAGGGAATTCTGTGCCCCGCTGGGTTCACCAGTGGAGGTCCTGCTCCAGCTGAGACAAAACCGCCACATTTTTGTCTCAAAACTCTCTTTATATGTATTTGTTAATAACTGTGATATTTTATAAGAGGAAGGAGAAGTGCCAGCTTGAATTTCTGTACGTGTTTCTGGTATCTTCTGCGTGTTCTAAAATGCTAAAATTTTGAGTGCTGTGAAATACCTTTCTGGGAACAGCTCAGCCAGCAGGAAAAGCAGTGAGGCTGCAGGAGCACAGGAGGGTTTCAACACTCAGTGTGTGACCCATCAACCAGTGTCAAAACCATCAGCCCTGCAGGAATTTACTCTCCTGAATCTCCTGTGCCAAATAAAGTGCCAGAGTGGGTGTTCATAGTTTGATTCCATTGGTGCATTTGGGGATTTTATTCATCTTTAAAACCCAAGCAGCAAGAGGAGCAGTAAAGGACCAGATCAGCATCGAGATAGTGCTGGCAGTTATTTTGTTCCCTCTTGATGGAAAAAAATTAGTGCTTATTGACTGCAGGATGTGATGCTGAACAGTTGGGCACAGGTTTCACTCTGACATCACAAGGTCCTTCACCCAGGGTCAATTTGAGTGTTGATGTTCACAGGCTGGAAACAAATATGTCATTCTCAAAGTCTTATATATTTATATACTTTTTAAGATCTATATACACATACATATTATAATATATATTATAAGTATATAAGTATTTATATATTTATATCTATTGATATCTCTATATATTATATATTTATATATTTATATACTTTTTAATATCTATATACACATACATATTTATATATAATATATATTATGAATATATAAGTATTTATATCTGTTGATGTATCTATATATTATATATTTATATAGATATATTTTATATAATATAATTATTATTATACATTCTCTGTAGTATTTATCATTTTTATATATTTATTCTATATTGTATATTGTATTTAATATTTATTTTATATAATTGTATATCTAGATTACATATAGATGTCTCTATATATCTATATGTAATATAGATATCTATAGATATAGATAGATATATCTATAGATATATCTATATATATACATATATATAGATATATATATCTATATGTAGATATATACAGATTTATCTATATAGATATATGTAATATATATCTATATGTAATATAGATATATAGAGACATTTATATCTCTATATATTTAATCTGTATTTATATATTTATATCTATGTTTTATATATATTTGTATTTATATATTTGTATGTATATATTTATATTTGTATGTATATATCTATATTGGTATTTATATATTTATGTCTATATTGGTATTTATATTTTATATATATTTATATATATTTATATTTATATATTTTCATATTATTTATATATTTATATATTTATTTATATTTTATATCTATATCTGTATTTATATATCTATATATTTGTGTTTATATATTTCTACCTATAATTTTATATTTATATAACATACATTTATAGATATTTTTATATATTTATGTATATATTTTTTTATATATTTATATTTATATATATCAGTATTTCTGTGTCTGGGCTCTATTCACCAGGTTTCTCCTCTGTGTTTGCAGGACATTGAAGCCACAATGAACTCTGCTCTGAACGAGCTGCGGGAGCTGGAGAGGCAGAGCAGCGTCAAGCACACGCCGGACGTTGTCCTGGACACCCTGGAGCCCTTGAAAACGTCCCCCGTGGTGGCCCCCACCTCGGAACCCTCCAGCCCTCTGCACACCCAGCTCCTCAAGGACTCTGAGCCGCCCTTCCAGCGCAGTGCCAGCACGGCCGGGGACATTCCGTGCACCTTCCGGCCCGTCAAGTCCGTCAAAATGGCCACGCAGGTGAAACCTCCGGCCACCCGCCCCAAACCCGCCGTGTTCCCCAAAACCAACGCCACGAGCCCCGGCGTGGCCTCCTCCGCGTCCCAGCAGCCCCCTGACAAGTCCTGTACTGTGTGATGAACTCGGTGCTGCTCCGTGGAGACGGCTCTTACCCCTTCGGATGGAGAGACTCTGTTACACAAAGACGTTAAAATTCCTATTTAAGTGATTTTTTTTTTTTTTTTTTTCCGAACTGAAGGTTTAGTTGTGAAACTGCCGCTCGCTCTTCCCGGGAGCTCTTCCCGGGAGCGAACTGAGCGGTAACAACCTCGTCCCACGTCCCCACATGGCTGATGTGTGTGGGGCAAAGCGGTTCCTGCCACGCTCGGGGAAACCCGGAGTCGGGTCACTGTGAAGCTGAGCAGGAAAACACACACAGGAGGGATGAGTTGGATCTTGGTTTCTGGTTGATGCCTTGTCCATGTGTTTGGCCACTGAAAGAAACACTCAGTGGCATCCTGTTTTTGGATACTGGTGTAGTGACTTATATATTCTGTGTTTCATTTACCACAGGGAAACAATAGGATAGATTTTAGTCTCTTGCATGTTTTGGTGCCACTGGTTACGTGGAGCTTGGACATGCCTGTTTCTTGTGCATTATTATTATTATTATTATTATTCTGTCGCCCGCCGGTGCCATGGTGGTTTAAGGGTCTGTCTCGACTTCCATCACATCCTCTGGTTTTGTTTGTTTGCTCCCCCTTCCTTCCCCCTCCCCGGGGCCAAAGCCCTTGGCCATCCAGCCTCATGCTTTAGTTGACACTTGTCATGAAAAATAGTTTACTCTGGAACACTCTTAGATTTTTGTGGAGTTCTACGTAATGTGTGTCTGTGCAAATATAAACAAACGTGCTCCTGAGGTTTAGGAGCATAACAAAGAGCCCAGTTGTTGCTTATGGACAATCGAGCTGGTTTTTCCCCCCTTTGCTCTCCCGTATTTAAAAACAGCTTTATTGTTTCAGCGTGACTTCCAGCCCGTGGGCTCTGATGTGCTGTGTGCTCTCGGGAGACTGAATGTAAAAAACAAGTTCACTTGGAAAACTCAAGCATCCCCTGGTAGGAGCCCACTTCCTAACGCACACAATCCTCGGTCTGATCACTCGTCAGGATGGATCCTCACCAAAATCCCAGTGACAAGCACTGTAAAAAAAAAAAAACAAAAAAACAAACTTCGCTCCGAAGTTCTCAAACTTCCTACCTTCTCCCTCTTTCTGGTTGCCAACGCTTCGGTCGGTGGCCGTGACCGCCGCGACTCGATTTAGGGATCTCTGCTCTTATAGAGCAGGGCAGGAAACGCCGCTGGGGACAGTGATGTGACAGCACACGTGGCTTCTGGAGTGGCTTCCCTGCGTGTCCCTTGGCGTGGCTCCTCCCTAGGACTCGGACATGTGAATGGATTCGTAGTATTTGTATTTATCTGTAGGCAGCAAACGCTCCAGCTGCCCACAGGCTGCAAGGACTCTTTTGTACTCCTCTGGGAATTCTCCACAATGCTCATGTTTATTTAATTTAATAATAATAATAATTAAAAACAAACAAACAAACAAAAAACCCACAACAAAGGCATGTGCCACTTGCAGCGCTAAGGAAGATTCACAGCCCTGGCTGACCCTGGTTCTCCTTGTTCCTAAACTTTTCTGGGATGTTAAAACAAGCTGCACATCTTATGTGTTCATCAGACAAATTCAGGCAAGGGCAAGATAAGAAAAATCATTTTTCTCGCCCGTTTAGCTGAGTTTCTTTCCAGTTTGTGGGTTCCTCGTGACTGCGATGTCGGTTTAATTGGCACTTAGTAATTAAAAAAGAAGAAACGAAACGTGCTTTTCTAAGAAGGGCTGCTGAAATGGGTTTTTTCTCGTTAATTTAGGATGTTACTTGGAAAAATGGAGCAGGGTTTTCCTGTGTCCCTGCCCGTCCCCACACGCACACACCCCCCTCTCTCTACAGGAGCAATCAATCCATATTAATGATGGCTTTTCAAAACACCAACTTCCTCTCTGCCCTAAATTAAGAAAATTGTGGAACACTGGAAAGATTTCAGTGAGAACACTCTTTGTTATCCATTTCTCCTCAGCTTTCCCTGGGGAAGCCCCATGGTACGTGTGTGACTGTCACTGGACCTCACAGAAGATCCCAAGGGCGCGACCGGCGACCTTTGCTCTCAGGTTCTGATGGACTTCTACCACCAAGGAATCACTTGTTCTTTTGGGGAAAAATAGAATTAATTAGACTTGTAATTTTTTGCTCAGGCAGAACTTGCTGGCATTTCCTTTTAAGTAGGAATTTTTTTGGTTTTCTTTTTTTTTTTTTTTTGGTCATAAATGACCAAAGTTAATCTGTATCAGGAGCAGGATCTCTGTAAATCGACTTCAACTCATTTGTAATGCCTTATTTTCTTTCTATTTTTATGCCTAGCGTTCATGTTTCTAAGAATAAGTGTCCAGCCACGCACAGCACATTGGAGGAGATGCTCTTCTCTATCTTCCAGGTCTGAAGTGTGAAATTAGGAGATTTAAACAACAACAGCAACAAAAAAAAAGACTTCAGGTTACTGTAACAGCAACTGTCTGTATCTGAATTACTGTGCTTCTCTAGCATCCACAGCTCTGGGACAATCCTGCTGCCAAGGGGAGTGTGCTTGGCAGGATAACCTGTATATGGAGCAACTCAACTGGAATTCTGGTGTGCACTGTGATTGACACGTAACATTTACAGCAAGCAATATGACAGGCTGAAGGTCATCCTTCCTCTCCCTCGTGCTCCGGGTCTGCCCGGCCGGCAGAAAAACTCACACGCGGGGGAATCGAACGACAAAATCACAACCAAGAAAAGGAGGATTTCACCTTGCCTGCTTCACTCTGTGAACACACAAGGCCAAGAGAAGGTTTGCCACAAGGGTTTAATGCCCGCTCGCTGATGGAGAGGTGGGAAGGAGGGACTGGGAAAGTCGACGCCGCTCCCTGCGGGAGAAGAGACCGGCGTAGGGTGGGCAAGGACGACACAGTGGTTTGCTTGGGGAGGTACCAACGTCGCTTCATATCTTCATATTCCGAAGAAATATTAGCTCTTCCGTAGGAATTCTCTTTTCCATGACTTTTTTATGTAATGTTCGTGTCAAATATAAAGACAAGAAGTGTTGGATAACTGGAATAACGTCTGTCTGTTCGATAGTGCTCGGGATGAACAACGGGGCCTTGTTCATCGGGTGTTGGATTGAAATAATCCAAAGCAAAAACTTTTGAAATAGAACATTTAGGTGATCTGAATAGTTTCTGAAGCTCGAACCGTTTCTGGCTTATTTCCCTAGTTGGGAATGGAGCAGTGTGCTTTAACCAGTGCTAAATTTCTGCCTCTCGAGGGCATCCAAAGGCTTGCAGTTGATAAATTGTAAATTTGTCCTTCGTGTCAAAGCCGTGGGACACGATCAGATTCTCTCACTTTATCTGTACTGGATATTCTATTGCAATGAAAATGAGTAAATAATTAGAGTGCACTGTGACAGCAGAAAAAAAAAATCGTTGTATATGTCTGTATTTTGATACCTGTTCGAAAGGAGTCTTTGGGTTTCCTGTGCTGAATACCTCATGTGTTGGGTTTTGGGAGTTTTTTTTGTTGATAAAAATGATTTTTTTTTTTAAGGCAAGATTGTTCTTGCACAAAAGTAGGTTAAGATAACCGAGTTCTCATAAATTTATTTACCGAAACGAAACGCTTCAGTTGGGCAAGAAATTCCATCTGTTGTAGTTCCCCCACCTTGCACTTGGTACAAGGGGCGACCCGGCGCACTTGGAAGAGCTCCAGCAATACTGGGACGAGAGAAGTTCATTGCAGGTGGAGTTTGCTGCCTTATTTCTCTTCTTCTGTGTGTCAAAAACCTCAAATTCAGTTGAACGTTGTGTAGATTTGGGGATTTATTGGGCTTTTGAGAGATGTTCTTCCGCAGAAATCGATGTCTCTAGTTGTTAGCACTTCAGATCCTTTTCCAGACCTGTGGACCAGGTAGGGTGGAAACGCTCCATTGCTGGTGGAATCCACGTTGAGGGAACACTTAAAATGAGATGGTGGTCTCAGTGGGGCCTAGGTTGTTAGTAAGGCAACAATAATGAGGGGAAAATCCCCAAAAATCCCAGTTTGAGACAGTTTGACTCAGTAAGAGGCTCTGGCTCCAGTCCTACACATCCATGAGGACGTGTGGGAGTTGAAGGATGTGCCCCTGTCCCTTGGAGTGTGGTTTGGTGGCCAGGGGAGGGGATACCTGTGCCTGGCAGGATCAAGCCCTGACTGTGCAGGGATATGCTCCTAAGTATAAATATATTTACTTGCTGACCTGTGAACCACAAGCGAGGAAAACTGCTTTCAAAACCAAAGAAACACAGGAGCACTGGGGCATTTCTCTCACTTAGGAGCCTGTCTTGGGCCGAAAACGAGTTTAACAAGATGGGGATTTATTTATTTTGAGATTTTTAGCTTTCACAAAAATAACAGGCCCTGTTGTGGGTTTATCTGGCCTTGGCTAACGCCCCTCAAATGCAGTTGGAGACATAAAGCTGTTTCTTTAGTGGCCTGGTAGAAGAAAAGGATGTTCTCTCTCTCATGGGGAACATTGTTTGTTCCCCACAGGGATGCTCCCAGCGCCAGCTCTGGGAAAACACCGAGCACTTCATGGACTGAACTTTGGGGTCTGAGCTCTTTCCAGATCAGCTCTCTGCGTGTCTCTGTGTCCGTGTGACAACCTGGTACTTGAAAAAAAAAAAAAAATGAAAATACAAATACTTGACCCTCTGCCTTGTGCCTGTGGGGCCGGGATGGCCCCGGCTGTGTCACGCACAAGCGGTTCCAGGCTCTGCCGCCGCCGCCTGAAGGCAGATGGATTCTTTTCCAGGCTCGGTTCTAGGAACAAACCATCTATTTTGGTGGCTCTCGAGATGCCAAAACAGCAGTTCAAGGCCTGGAAAACGTCAGGTTTGGTTGGTTGGTTTGGTTTTGGGTTTGTTTTTTTTTCCTGTTCTATTTTGTGCTTCCTATAACGTAGTTTGGGACAAAAGCGTTGCTTTTCAACGATGGGCCAAAAAGAGGCAAAGGTGGAGAGGGAGGGCAGCTCCCTGCTGTACTAATACTTGATCTACCAAGCTTCATACAGGGTAAATATTTAGCAGTTTGCAGTGGAAATTGCAGATGGACCCGTCCTTTTCAAGGCACTGTAGTAACCTTACTCCTGAGGTGGACTTCACCAGCCTTTTCTCCAGGCGGAGCCCTGAGATGTGAATAAGCCAAGTCCAAAGGACTGGACTCGTGAGTGTGCCAAACTGCTGGAGCAATACTTGTGAGCAGCAGGTTCTTCAAAAAGACCAGCTCTATGTAGCCAAAGCGGGGGCAATTACTGAAAACCATCTCTGATTTTAAGGGATCGCAGTGATGTGGTTCTGCTGTAACGTTGGAAAAGTGGGGTTGCAAAGTCTAGAAATGTGTGTTTTCTGTCTGAACCTCGGTCCTGTGGTGGCTCGTACGGTGCGTTGGGTTTGGGGTCGTCGACAGCAGTTGTTTAATGGTGGGATGGAATGTTCTTGCTAAAACAGTTTCCATTGTTTCATGTCTTCTACACCAATATATATATGGTGTATATATTAAACTGTGTAAAATTGTACTTTGTATATAGAACTCTGTACAATATGGAGGTACAGCCTTCTTTTTTTTTTTTTTTCCCCCTCCCCCTTTTGGTACAGTATTGTACAGTATTAGGAGTCGATGTGTTGGAAATGTTCAGTCCATACTGGGGCAACAAAATGTATCCATTGTCATTAGCAATAGTTTTGGAGAAATAAATGTTTTGGGTATGGTGGAAACACTGACCTGAGGGTGCCGGTGTGTGATGTCTGGAGCGAGTGTGGGTGCCTGGGTTTGAGTGGGAGAGAGGGTGAGCATGGCCTGTGGGGGCTTTTGGAATCCTCAGGATTGTTGCTACAGGCACTGGTAAGTAGGTGAGGAGGAATCTGCAGGATTCAGGAATACAGAGTGTCATTCACAGGCACTGGGACACTCGATCCCAGCAGGGAAGGAGCATCGTTGTAGCCCAGGGATAAGGGGGATCCAAAGGACAAGGGACTCACACGGGCAGGTAGTGATAGGACAAGGGAGAATGGCCTTAAACTGAAGGAAAGTAGGTTTAGATTGGGTTTTAGGAAGAAATGCTTCCCTGTGAGGGTGGGGAGGCCCTGGCACGGGTTGCCCAGAGAAGCTGTGGCTGCCCCATCCCTGGAACTGCCCAAGGCCAGGTTGGATGGGGCTTGGAGCAACCTGGGCTGGTGGAAGGTGTCCCTGCCCATGACAGGGGGCTGGAACTGGATGGACTTTAAGGTCTCTTCCAATCCAAACCATTCTGGGATTCTGTGACTCCACTGTCCCCCCACCCTGGGCTTGCACGCACCGACCACCACCGGCAGGATTCCACAGGGCAAACACTTCCCTTGCAATGACCTGATTTAAAAATGCTTAATCTTCCTCATTTTCCTGGAGAGGATGGACCCCCAACTGTCTCAGGAAAGAGGATTTAAGATTGAGATTATGGACTGGATCATTATTATTATTATTATTACCAGCTTTCCCCAGCCTCGGTTTTTCAATAGGCCTTTTCCAGAGCACGGAGGGGAAAATGTGGCAGGGCTGTGTCATTTTGGATTCCCTTTGTTTAGATATCAAGGAATTACCTATTTATGGTGAGGTTTGATGTTTAATCAAGACATTTTGTGCTCAGATGGGAGTGAGCTGTGGACAGCTGTCCCCGGGGTGAGCTCCCGAGGGGATGGGGATCCCTGTGCTCCCTGTCCAACATCTCTTTTAGGGATTCAAGAGCTGGAAACTCAGGATGCTTTTACTTCTTAGATTAGTAGCCCAAATCACAGCAGCTTATGTGGTAATACCCTAAAGCAGGCTGGGCACAGTGGCATGTAGGTGGTGGTTTTTTGCTTTTTAGACAAGAAGTAGGAGTCAGAAAGGCAATGGGGTGACACAGATAACAAATGATTTTTGATTTTCTTTGGGTCCCTGCTGTCCAGTAGTAGAGGACACTGTGATTCATCCCTTAAACCCTCTGATGGCATCAAACTGCAGGGAGGTCTGACCCTCCCTCACAAACTTCTTGTTATGGTTGTTTTTAACAAGGAAATGTGGTGGCGAGGGGAAGGTTTGGTGCTGAGTGAGGGGAGGGTTGGTTTGCTTGTGAAGGGTCAGTGGGGAAGGGAAGGGGATGCTCTAGGAAGGACCACAGCACTTGGTGTGAAGAAATGGGACCATTTCAGCTTCTCATGAACATTCCCCAGGAGCAGGTTTGTCACAGGGACACTGTGGGGACATCACCGGGGTCGTGGGCTGGGGTTTTCTGTCCCAAGCCCCCAGAGATGAGGTCCCTGCTGCAGGCAGAGCTCGCTGCTTGTCCTTTATTCTTTAGGCTTTGCTGCCACCAGCTGGAACAATTAATTTTTGTCACAAGCTGGTTTCAAGGCCGGGTTTTTGCTCTCCCAGCCTGTGCCAGACTGGTCTCTCCCAGAGTTTATCCCCCATGGGCACGTCCAGTCCCAGTGGGACAGATGGGGTTGGAGTGTCAAAACCTGCTGTTGGGGTACCCAGGGAGAGGAAACGAATTATTAATTTAAAATTATAGCAAAGGAAAGGATAAAGGGGTCTGAAAGGAGCCAGGCAAACCTTGGGGACGAGTTCCTGGACTTGGGCTGGGATCTCCCTCCGAGGCTGGACCTGACTGGGAGAGCTGCTGGGGTAACTGGGATGTGCTGGAGTCCCTGGGCTCCAAGGGCTGGCACCACACTGGCATCGAGGTGTGCTGGTGTTGCCTGTGGAGAATGGACTGAAAAGACTGGCAGCACAACCTGAAAATAACCTTTTCGAGGTGCTATAAAATATTTTAATGATTTCCTTCCTGTCTGTCTTTACGCCCCACCAGCCCAGACCTGCTCACTCATCAGTGAAAGCTGAAGCAACACGGTCAGAAGTCTCAGAAAACGCCTGAGCCTGGGTTTTCTGTCTTAAAAAAAAATCTTTGTTTCACTTTCTGAGCTGAAACACAGGACGGGCCCTTTCCTCTCCTCATGCCCTGGATGGGTTCCTTGTGCTCCCAGGGCTCCAGAGTAGCTCTGCAGAGCTGCAGAGGGTGCAGGACTGAGTGTGGTGTGCAGGATGAACCATCACTGATTGTACCCTTGCCCACTCTGGGCCTTTGGGAAGGAACTCAGCTGGAATTCCCCTCCGAAGGTTTCGCTTGCCCCTCTTCCTCGTGTTAACTGCTCTTCATCTGTGATTTCAGTGCTGAGAAATGACATGAGAAATGAGCTGCAGGTTTTTCAGTGTGGGGAAGGGCTTCTCAAGCATCTCCATCTCAGATTTGATGATCTTTTAGTCTGGTGAGCGAGAGGCACGGCACAGCAGCCCAGCCCAGCCCTCGCTGCACCCACAGCCCAGGAGCTTGGCCAGAGCTGCAGGGACAGATCGATGATCCTGTTTGAAGGACACAGTTGCCACATGCACAGAAAATAAGACTAAGAATGATTTCAAGAAGTCACCCCAACACTTTCTCTTCCTGTTAAGTGGGCTGCAGCAGAAACAACTTTAATCAAAGTGATTTCAAGCTTCACGTGGTTAAACCGACGTCACTGCGCTTCCGCTGCCACGGGCTCCGTCACCCCACACCAGCCCCTGCTGCCCCTTAGATAAGCTCAGGGCAAGGGCCAGTCTGTGCCCGCAGTCTGGCAGCTTGGCAGCTCTCCAGAGGGTTTTCCAGGCACACTCACACGTGGCTGGGAAATGAAGCTCAGCAGGAATTAAGGAACTAGTCCCCTGTGGAGTTTATGTGCAGGCTGGTGAGGTGTCCTGTTGGGTTTTGGAGGTACCACACACTGGTGTGCTCACAGACCATTGCAGGCTTTGTTTGTGAGGATGGGGCCTTCAGACACACGTCCACACCAGCCTGAAGGAATTCCTGACAGTGGGAGCTGGTGCTGGTTCTGATCAAGGTGAAGTGTGGGTGTCTCTGAGCCAGGGAGGGAGCAGGAACATGAGCAGCCCCACTCTGCCCTGTGCAGGCACAGGAGGGTACCCTGAGCACCCTGCATCCTGTACCCCACCCTGCCTCCCACATCCCACCCTGCCTCCCACATCCCACCCTGCCTCCCATATCCTGTCCTGCATCCTGCACCCCATATGCCACCCTGCATCCCATCTTTCTTCTCACATCCTGCCCTGCATCCCACATCCCACCCTCTCCTACATTCCACGCTGCATCCTGCATCCCACCCTATCCTGCATCCCACATCCCACCCTGCACCCTGCTCTGCATCCCACATCCCATCCTGCATCCCATATCCTGTGCTGCGTCTCATATCATACCCTGCTCTGCATCCTGCATTCCCCCCCCCCCGCATCCCACATCCCTGCCAGGGCATCCCAAGAGGACAGTGGCACACACATTCCACTGGGTGATGCTGTGTCCGTGCCAGGGCCGAGCTGGCACAGATAACAAAGGCTGGACTCTCACCCTGGACACGGATCCTGATCCCACGCTACTTCCCAAATCCGACGGTGGCCGGTGCACCTTTTGGCGTTCCCGGAGCCCATCCCGGCCCCATTTGCCCCCCGGAGGAGCCCAGCACGCCCGGGGATCGCTGCAACACTGGGAATTTTTTTTTCTCGAGCAGGAAGCTGAAGCATTTCCTCCTCCAGCGGGGCCGCCGGTTGCCGAGCGGGTTTTGCAATCCGTAGGTTTCAGTTCCCGGGGTGGGGAGGTGCCTCTCGCCGCTCCGCGCTTGTTTGCTCGTAATTTTTTTTTTTTTTTTTTTTTCTGCATCTGTCAGAGTTTCTTCTCGCTGCCAGCCCCGACAGGTCCCGGCCGGGTGGCTTTTGGCAGCGCTCGCGGCTCGGTCCATGCGCAGCCTTCGCGTGGTGCTGCCGGCGAGGTTGGAGCTGCCCCCGGGAACATCCTTGGCCGGCGTTTCCCTGCGCCTTGCCAGGCAAGGACGGATCAAAGGCTGGGATTTGGTGGCCAGCGGCCCCCGGGGTGACCCCTGTGCTTCCCGCTGGAGATGCAGAGCACCCCCAACTACCTCTGGAGCACCGAGGACCTCCTGGGCCAGGGAGCCACAGCCTGCGTCTACAAAGCTCGCAACAAGGTGAGCGGGGGCAGCGCTGGGGGCAGGAACCCCGAAGCCACGGAGCCCCCGTGCCCCCCATCCCTCCTGCCCCTGTTCCCCTCAGCTCGCCCTCCCGGCAGCTCCCCGGCTGGATAGCAGCCCAGGGGCTGCTCTGGGTTTTGTTTTCATTTTCTATGTGGCTCCTTCCCCTGGCTGTGCGGGTGGGGGGTGGTTTTTGGGGTGCTCACAGCCGGGTCCTGCTCGCCGGCTGCCGGATTCCCGAGCAGCGCAAGGGGGAAGAAGCTGTTTTCCGGGGAATGCCCAGAGGTTTTGAAAACCCCATCCCCGGCTATTTGCATACTTCATGCAAACACTTGCCAGGCTTGGAACAGACTCTTCTCCTCAGCAGCCTTTGAAGTTTATTGAGCAAACTGCAGGCGCAGGGCAGGAGAGGCGGCTGCGAGGCTGGGTTGGGAACATCCCCATCCCGTGCAGAGCTGACAAGGAGCTGCCAGCCCCGGCTCCAGCTGGGAACTTTTTATGGAGCTGAATAAACACGCTGACACGCAGCACGTGGGTGCAGGGACAGGAAGCAAAGGGAGGTGAATACCAGCAGTTTGCTCGTGCAGAGGAGAGTCGACGTCATTTGCATCCCAGGCGGGATGTGGGATCAGTAAAGGAGCTCCTTTGAATGAGAATGGCACCACCTCCCATTTCCTTTTTCTCCTTTTCCTCTTTTCCCAGAAATCAGGGGAGCTGGTTGCTGTGAAGGTGTTTAACAATGCCAGCTACCTCCGGCCCCAGGAGGTCCAGATGAGAGAGTTCGAGATGCTGCGGAAGCTGAACCACAAAAATATTGTCAAATTATTTGCCGTGGAGGAGACAGTAAGTGGGACCCCATCTGGGAAGCCCCCAGCCAGGAATCCCTCAGCTGGGAATCCTGCTGTGCCCACTGGGCCAGTGCCACAGGGGTGTGGGCTGAGCTGCAGGAGAGCAATGATGGTCCCGCTCTGCCACCTCTTCTCACCACCCTCTGTCTCAGCCCAACCCCTCAGCACTGGGAGCACTGGTGGCACTGGGACACCGGGCTGGAGCACGGCTGTGACCTGCTGTTGTCCCCTGACCAGGCAGCTGGCACGGTGGGGACATTCTCCAGCACTGGTTTGGCCAAGCAGGAGAAACCCGGGGATCCACCAGCCGAGGGAGGGGATCTGGTCCTGCCTGGGTGGGGGGGACAGGCCCACAGCTGGGACACAGGGCCAGCCCAGCCCTCACAACATCTCCCACCACAGGGCAGCAGCAAGCAGAAGGTGCTGGTGATGGAGTACTGCTCCAGTGGCAGTTTGCTGAACGTGCTGGAAGATCCAGCAAACGCCTTCGGCTTGGCCGAGTCCGAGTTCCTCATCGTGCTGCAGTGTGTGGGTGAGTGGGGGGGCCCGGGACCACCAGCCCCCTGCCACCACCACCAGCCCCCCGGGACTGAGACCCTGAGGCTGGGGACATTGTGGTGCTGGTGGGACCCTGCAGGCACCAGCCGTGGGGTTTGGAATGAGGGGTCAGGAATTGCACCTCTGAATGGGGTGGGGTTGAGCTCCGGGCCCATGGGGCTGAGGGTTTCTCCTTGCAGACCTGCTCTGGGAAGCAGCTGTGGGAACAGGCTGTGCCTCACAATGGAGGAACACTAGGGCAGTGCTCCTGTGCTCACACAATCACACTGGTCCCCACTTCAGAGCAACCACCCTGGGGTTTGTCCCCTTTCCAGCCCTTCTCACATTCCTAAATTTGAGCAAAGCCCGCTGGAGCCCAGTGCCCCAGCCCCACGCAGGAACTTCCCCGTGTGCCCAGTGGCAGGGATGAACCACCCCCGTGAGAACGGCGTTGTCCACAGAGACATCAAACCCGGGAACATCATGCGGCTGATGGGGGAGGACGGGCAGAGCGTCTACAAACTGACCGACTTTGGGGCCGCCCGAGAGCTGGAGGACGATGAAAAGTTTGTGTCTGTCTATGGGACGGAGGAATATCTCGTGAGTAGAGCATGTCCCAGTCTGGTGGCCCCTGGGGGAGGCTGGTGCCCATCCCTCAATCCGACAGCTGGGCGACTTGTAGGGAGCAGCAGCGACGTGGAGAGCCTGATCTTAAAGGGTCCATATTTTTGAAAGAGGGGGGAGGGCTCAGCGTTTTTGTTGCAGATTTCCAGGTGATGGTTTTGGGGGAGGATCCGGTGCTGCTTTTTGGGAGGATCCAGTGCTGCTGTGCTTCCCCCCGCAGCACCCCGACATGTACGAGCGGGCCGTCCTGCGCAAGCCGCAGCAGAAGGCGTACGGGGTCACCGTCGACCTCTGGAGCATCGGGGTCACCTTCTACCACGCTGCCACCGGCAGCCTCCCCTTCGTCCCCTTCGGGGGGCCCCGCAGGAACAAGGAGATCATGTAGGTACCAAGGAGATCGTGTAGGTACCGTGCCCAGCCATGGTGTGGGGAGGTGGGACCGCAGCCGGTGGCCTCCGGGGCTGTGGCACCGTGGGGTTCCGTGATGCACTTTACTGCTTGTTTAATCCCATAAGGACCTCAAAGCCCTGACATGTACCTGGCATTCACCTGTGAAGTGTGTGCGCTGCGTGGGAAAGACTCTGTGCCGTGTTTGCCAGGTTTTCCCTCTAAATGGGATGGTTGGATGGGACTCTGAGCAGACTGATCTAGTGGGTGGCATCTCGTGGGTTGGAACCAGATGGTCTTTTAAGTTCCCTTCCAATCCAAACCGTGCTGTGACTCTATTATTCTATAAAATGCATTCCTATGACTTTGTGGCTAAACAGCTGGAAGAGGAGCCAGGTTGTCTTGGAAGTTTGTGACTGTTTCTTGCAGCATTTTCCCTCTGGGTATTTTTTTCTCTCTGTGAATTATCTCTTTCCCAGCCCATCCGTACTCTGCCCTTTCCCTACCAGAGGGACACCCAAACAGAGCTCACTTGGCTCGTTTCAGCAGCAATTCCCTTTCCACAGGTACAAAATCACCACTGAGAAGCCTCCTGGAGCCATTGCAGGGATCCAGAGGCAGGAGAACGGGAACATCGAGTGGAGTTACGAGCTGCCCATCACCTGCCGCCTCTCCGTGTGAGTGTCCCGTGCCAGGGTGGGATCCCACCACAGTTCCCACATCCTGGCACCACCTCAGACAGCACAGGGGGGTTTAAGGAGGCAGATAAGCTTTTCACCTGCGAGTGTCACAGCTCTCAGACCAGGTTTTTGCTTTACAGCCGGGAAAAGGGGGTGCAAGGCAGGGCAAGCTCAGTGCAGGATCTCCCGTCCCCGCGGCCGCCGCGTTCGTGGCTTGGGGTTACACCAGACTGTGCAAACATCTCTCCTTCTGCTGTTGCAGGGGGCTGAAGGACCAGCTGATCCCCATTTTGGCTAACATCCTGGAGGCTGATCAGGAGAAATGCTGGGGATTCGACCAGTTTTTTGCAGGAACCAATGACATTTTGCACAGGATCGTGGTGGACGTGTTCTCCCTGCAGCAGGCTTCCTCCCACCGCATCTACGTCCACTCCTACAACACGTAAGGCTGTGTTAAAGCAAATTTGGGAATCAAGCTCGAGAGCCTCGGCCCCTCATTTCACTAGGTGAACCTTGGGGCAGCACCTGTTCCCCTTGCACCACACCTAAGCCAGGTTAAAACAAACCAGGCTCAAAACAGACTTTGCTGGGAGCACGTCTGACCTTGTGGGATATTTTGCTAAGAGAAAACATCAACATTTTGGTATTTTGAGGGCAGCAGGCTGCTAAAGCCATGGAAATCTGAGCTTGTCCCCACCCTTTCATTCCTTTTGGATTTCAGTACCACCAAGTTTTTAGACGCTGTCTTCAAACAAACGAACATAGTCCCTCACCATCAAGAATACTTTTTTGAAGGACACCTGTACGAGCTGGATCCTAATCTCCAAGCTCACAATTTCTGCAAAACCACAGAGAGCAGCCCCCTGACCTTGCTGAGCACAGCTGAGCACCCCGAGGACGTGGTGGGGGTCCGGTACAGAGACCGTGAGTACCCGTGGTTGGAGATGCTCATGGCATGAGGGAGGGTGTAGTGAGAGGGATTTGCTTCAGTTTTTATCCCAAGAGCTTTCCCATTCCCATTCCCTGTCTGGGTGATGGGCCCATGTCTTGGGTGATCCCTGGTTTCAGTGCCTGAGCAATGTTGGACCCTGATCCCAGTTCCCAGCAGGGTTCCAAGTTCACCAGACCGGTCCCCAGGTCCTGGAGCAGTGCCAGCCAGTGCTGCTCCCATTTCCCACTTCCAGGTGGTGCCAGTCCCCATTCCCAGAACTGATCTCTGTTCCCAGCAGTGGGGAGTGCTGGTTCCCAGTGCTGGTTCCTATTCCTGATGCCAGTTCCCATTCCCAGTGCCAAATCCAGGTCCCATTTCTGGTCCCTGGTGCAGGGCAGGAGGTGAAGGGATTGTGCTGCTGGAGCAGGATTAGGAGGTTTTAGGGTCAGTTTTCCCCTGCCATGTGCTGGTGCTCCACGCACCACACTGGGCTTTGCAGGCAATTCCTGCCTTCATCCATGTTTCCTAAATATCTTGGAGGGCTGCACTGAGCCTCCAGCAACCCAGCAGCTCCTGTTCCCAAGCTCCTGAGTGGCTGCAGGGTTTGTTGGTGGGTGTGAGGTGTCCCAAAGCCCCCTGACCGCCGTCTGTCTTTCCAGCGGCACTTGAGTTCCCGAAGTTTGTCCCCAAGGTGGACGTGGTGGCCGACTGCAGCGCAGCCAAGGTAGGTGAGAGTGCCCAGGGGGCTCGGGGAGGGGCCCGTGGGGCAGCCTCAGGCCACTTTTTTGGTGCCCTTTGCTTCGCAGAGCGCGGTGGGCGCCGCACACCAGACCCTGCGCATCGGGCAGGCCCTGCGGCGCGGCCGGGAGCTGCTGGCCAGAGGCCTCCACTGGGTGATGTGAGTGACAGGGACACCCTGGGGGGGTGGCAGAAGGTGGGACATGTCCCTTCCCAGGTGTTCAGTTAAAGCACTTGGGGTTTTCCAGCCTCTTCAGCCAGTGTGGGACCACTGGGGATGGTGGGATGGGGTCCTGGGGTACCGGGAGGGAGCAGAACATAAAGATCAGGATGGATCCACGCAAGGGGCACAAGTGCCAGGCTGTGAGGGGGCTGCACCTGTAGGAAAATACCCCTCAGTGTTGTGAGGATGTTCCTGTCCCCACTTGTTAGTTTTGAGTCACTTTTTTCAGTTTAGGAGGCGCTGAGGAAAAAGTATCATTATTATCATCATCATTATTATTATTATCACCATTATAATTATTATTATCATAATTATTACCATCATCATTATTATTGCTATCATCATTATTATTACCATCATCATCATTGTGCATATCACTGTGGAAGGTGTATCTGCCCATGGCAGGGGGTTGGAATGAGATGATCTTTAAGGTCCCTTCCAACCCAAACTGCTCCATGATCCTATGATGATTTTCACTGTCCCACCCATTTCCTTCAGGGCAGGAGCCTCATGTGCAGTGGCAGGACCAAAACCCAGGAGCTGCACCCAGTTTTAGGGGCATCCAGCCCCCCTTTTCTGAGAGAAGCCACCAGCTCCATCCTCCCCTCACCACATGCAGCTGGCCCCAGGATGGAGTTCCTGATTCCAGGGAGCACGTGTTGGACGGGCTGTTTTCTCTCTTGGCAGAGGGGACCTGAAAACAGAGTGCTCGAGGATTTTGGAGCAGAGGAGGGGGGCTCTCTCAGTGCTCAGCTGCCTGCAGCTCACCGAGGTGAAGACCCGTGTGCTGTAAGTGTGGCCTTGCACATGCTGGGCTGTGGCAGAGAAAATATAGGGCTCTCAAAGGGGAATTATCAGAAATCAGGACAATTCCAGGAATAACCTGGTATCTGGGAGGTAGGAGGCCTTTTCACTGTATGTTGAGGCTGCAGGAAATGAGCCCCTCTGGCTGTTTGTCCCTCTTTGCTTCAGTTTTTAATGATCCCTGGTTTCACAGGAGCCCAGAGTTTAGTCCTGGCTGTGGCTCCTGCTCCGGGGTTTTCCAACTGTTACAGCCCATGAGCTGCAGAGTAAGTGCAGGAATGGGACAGGGCTGCTGCTCCAGCTCGGGGCAAAGGGAAAAAGAGCTGAGTTAAAATAATGGGCAGGATGGCACCAGCTGCCAAGGCCCCTCGGGGGTCTGGCCCCCACCACCAACCTGCTCCCTGCAAACAGCCCTGCAGAGCTGGGCACAGGGAGCATCAGCAGTGCTGGGATGGGTGACATTCCCATGGATCCAACATCCCTCCTCACACCATCCATGGTGAGATTTCTCGTTTCCACTCAAGAGTCTCCACTAATGGAGCTGAACTACAGAGGAACCCTGGGCTGCCCTCGACCTTTCCACTCCCCACATTCCCACCCGGCTGCCCCGGGGTGAGGGGGGAAGCTGAACCCGTTTAAAAAGCAACCCAAGGATATTTTGCTCTTCTCTTTTGTCGTAGTTGTAGTGGAAAATTCTTTGCTGCTGGGTAGCTGTTCTTTTATTCTTTGCCATTTAGCAAGTCTCTTAATTTCCATTTCATCTCAAAAAAAAAAAAAATAAAAAATAGGGACACATGGTTCCCATTGAGTTCAGCGGGATTAGAGCAGGGCTGTAGTGCCAAGAGCAGTAATGCTGCAGCTGGATGCTCTGGCTCATCCATCCCTTCCAACATGCTCTGGATCAGGGATATTTCTGCTGACTTAGCCCTCCCGTGCCAGCTGCAGGGAGCCAGACGGCATCTGATCTGGCCTAAAGCCAGCGGGTATGAAACCAGCAATTTTTGGAACAAATTGGACACAACGGGGTGAGTTTTTACCAGATCAGCACTTTGCATCTTGTGGCTCAGATCTGTCACCCCTTGGATATAACTTTGGATGAGTTGTTGCCTGAGGAAACCACCTCCCAGCCCCACAGGAATCCATCCAGCGCTGGCTCCACCGTGGGATGGGTTCTCCTTGCCCAGGTGATGCTGCCTCTGGCTCAGGTTCCACTCCAGGAATATTCATTTTCTGGCTTCCCTCAGGTACGAGGCTGTTCCTGCAGGCAGTGGGGTGCCAGCTGTGATGGACATGGCCATGGTGAAGACAAGGCTGCAGAGGGTGAGCCCCCAGCCCGGGGTGGAGGAGCATCCACAGCTTCCAGAGCTGCCGGTCCCAACCTCTCCTCCTCACCCACAGGTCGCAGAGGAGCTCTCTCAGTGCTCCCACAACATCTTTGACTTCCAAGGGGCGCTGGATGGGATTTTGTCCGAGCTGGTGAAGGACAGGCAGCAAGTGCACGAAGACAAAAGGTTTGTGGTGAGATCCCTGATGACACTTCGCTGTTCCCAGCTGGGTGGAGTAGCTTTGCTGTGGGATCCACGCAGGGCCATGCACAGCCCTCCCTGTGATGTCCCTGCACACAGACACGGGGAGCAGCAGTGACTCTGAGTTTAGATTTCACCCCAAAAGTGCTGATTTTACCCCAGCCTCCCACCCTTCCTCTCGGGGACCCTCATGCCTCCTTCCCTGTCCCATTCCAGCATCCAGCAGATCGAGTGCTGCCTGGAGAAGATGCAGCTGATCTACAAGCAGTTCAAGAAGGCCAGGACGTGTCTGAGTGAGTGATGGGGAGGGGGGACACGAGGTGTGGGGCTGCAACAGGAATGTCCCTGTGCTGGTGGAAAAATGGATGGTTTCACTTTGCTGGGTTTAAATTATTTCATACAATCATCGAACCACAGACTGGTTTGGGGTGGAAGGGACTTTATAGATCATCTATTTCTGTGCCATGACAGTGGCCCCAGGGGCTGAGCCCTAAAAATCCCCTTGAGTGATTTCTGCGTGTTGTGAAATTGCCCATTTATTGGGGTGTGAACAGGAAAATATGTGGTGAGTGGTGACCTGTGTCTTTCCTCCCCAGGGCTGGGCTACAATGAGGAACAAATACACAAGCTGGATAAGTGAGTCCCAACCCTCTCCCCTTTCCAGGACCTGCCCCTTGCTGTGTCCAGGCCGGTGTTTGGTAGTTCTGACTGAATCCTAAAGGGATATAAAAAGTTCTCTGGTCACCAGTGTTGCCAGAGGGCACCTGTAAGTTGTTCCTGTGATGGTTCATCCAGGCAGGACCTTTCACAGGGAAGTTTTCAAGCTGTGAACTATTTCAGATGAAGAAGTCAGAGAACCTTTGGGGACAGAGAGCTGCTGTTGGGCCAAATCCCTGTGTTGGATGTGGGGATAAGCACATTCCAGCCTATTGCTCACACAGGGCTTAGTTTGGGGCTATTTGTTACAGAGATGCTGATTTAGGAAGTGTCCCTGCTTAACTTCCACTGGGAGTGAAGTGCCTGATGGGTTTTGGACCTTTAAAAATCCTCCTTTCTGTTTCCACTGAAATCAGGGGAATTTAACACAGGCAAAAAATAAAAATGCCCACTTCAATGTATACTAGGAAGGGCGAAATTTCACATGCAGCTCCTTTAACTCAATTAATCTTCAGTCTAAGACTGAACATTTGCCTTAAATTCCAAGGTGAAGACTACTCAGAAGTGCCCTGGAGGGGATGACAGCCCGACTGGGCATCCCCCCCAAAACCTCTTGCTCCTCTTCATCACAATTAGGGCTTGTTTCCTCTATAATACTGATCCAAAATTCATTACTGAGCATCCAGCCCTTCTTTCTCTATTCAGCAGCCAGCTTTAGGTCTCTGGCCACGTGAGCTGTGATGTTCATTTTCATACATATAAGGAAGTAACAGTGTTGTCTCTTTTTTTTCCTGGTTTTAGGATGAATTTAGGGAACTTGGCCAGGAAGGTTCTGTCGATTTTCCAGAATGATTGTGTCCAGCAGTACCAGGACACCCTGGCCCTCCACAGCAGCAGGATGAGGTACCAGCCCTCTCTGGGGGTTTGGGGGCTCTGGATTTGAGACCCTGGTGTGGATGGGAGAGGGAACTTTCCAGTAACCCAGGACTTCTGAGTGCTCTTTGCTATGGATCAAGATGGGGATGGAGATGATGATGCTGGGAACTGCTGAGGGACTGCAAAGGGGCAACAAGCCCTCAAAGCAGCTGGAAACCCCACTTTGTGGGCTGGCTCCTAGCCCATGCCATGTGTTCTGCCCTGTTAAAGTTTATTTTTAAAAAAGCCCCTAAACCTGCAGCTTGAGTCCAGGCAGCTCTTTCCTCGCTCTCTGGGTGGGGAGAGGTTGTTTTATCGGGACAAAATTGGTATTGAGACAAAGAGATCCACTTACAGGGAATGATCTGCTGTTAAATGGTGCTTGGGGAATAATGCAAAGAGCAAATTACCCTGCGGTGCTGGAGAGCAATCCAACGACCAGGGCAGCAACAAAGAGCAGGGGGGGGAGGCAGTTGGGAAGAGGATGGGGCAAGAATTGGATTTTCATTGCTTTTAGAGAGGAGCATCAGTGCCCTGAGCTGCCAGTGTGGGCAGAGGGAGTTTATGGAATTCCTTAGAATTAAACCCAGCTTTTGATCTGGTCCTGTTTTTGATGGGGAGCAGCCCCGTGTAGGATTTGCCAGTGGGAGGGATTTTTAGGCTGGAAGTTTGTCTCAGAAATGCTCCAGGAGCCGCAGGCAGGGTCTGTCCTGTCCCTGTCCTCTCCCTGCCTTCTCCCTGCCTCCTTTCCTGCCTTCTCCCAGTCTTTTCCCAGCCTTCTCCAATTCCCAGCCCCAGCTCCTGCCACTGGGGGTTTCCCTTACTCAGGGGCAGGTTTCACTCTGGGGACAGGAGCTCTGTCCCACAGTCGTCTCCCCCCACACCCCATCCCAAGGCAGTGAAATCTCCCTTGGCTTCACTGGGAATTTTGTCTTGGGGTGAGATTCCTCTGGCTGTGGAGCTCCACAAAATCCATGCAGCACAGGAGCCTCGTCTGCACTAAAACAGGGTTTTAACTCTGCTCATAGGGAGGAAAAAAAGCTTCTTCATGTTTTCCTGCAGTATTTTTGTACCTGGTTTTCTGTCCTTAGGGAGAAAGCATCATGAGTCACAGCTGGGATATTTTTAATTTATTGCTACTTCAGTTCTAATTGTCCTGGTTTGGGTTGTTTCCTGCCAGGGTTTGTGGTGTGGTGGCTGGGTTTTTTTGGGGGACTGGAGGTGGATTATCCACCTGAAATATTCTTTCCTTTGTTTTTTTAAAGCCAAAACAATTTTTTTTATTATTTTTTTTAATATACAACTCATGATGTGCCTGTTGAGTGTTGGGTGCAGCACCAGGGAGCTTTTTTGGGTAGATTCTCAGCCCTCCACGGGACACAGAGGACCAGCCTGTGCAGAGCTGCTGGCAAAAGTGATGGGCCTGAGCTGTCTCTCTTACAAGCAGCACTTTCCCTAATTAATTTGCTATTAGTGCTGTTTGGATAACCAGGCTGTGGTGACTTAACAAAGCTGCAACTGTAATTTCAACACTGCTCTGACTCACTTGCTTTCCTTCAGCATTTTAACTTGGATCCAGAAAGGTCTGCAGGAAGCAGTGCAGAGTTAAAACACATAAAAAAATTAATGATCCCCGCCGATGCCAAACACTGACTGGGAATTTTGTCGCCGTGTTTTCTTTTCTTTCTAGGAAAGTTTGTGAGATAAAGAAGCACCTGAAGAGGCTCAGCAACCGCATCAGCACCTGCAGTGTGGAGATGATGGAGTGCCAGGACTGCCTGCAGGGCGTAGGTGTCCAGGGGGTCGTGCCAGGGATGCAGCTCCACAGTCTCTCCCTGCTCCCTGACGATGCTCCTGCTCCCCTCTCCCAGCTCCCACCGGGTGCAGGAGCACCTGGGTTAAGTAGGGAAGCCCTGGAGTGCTTTTAAACAGCTTGCTGGAGCTCTTTGTGGCTGATCTCACACTGGAGATGGGGAAACCTTTGGCAGTGGAACCCCTGGTTGCCAGGATTGCCTGGCACGGGGGATCTGTCCCCAGCAAATGGGAATTGCAGCAGTAGAAAAATGATGCTTCACCTCCAGCTGCCACGATAAACTGGCTGATCAGCTGGGGCACAACTTCCTAGGAGGTGTCCTGGTCCTTTGGTTGTTTTGTTTTGTTTGTCCTGGAGAAGTGGATGTGCTGAGTGTGGTGTCACTTCCTGGGGGTTTACCCAGGCAGGCACTGCATCCCCCCGGGGTCAGACCCCCAGACAGCCCCTGCTGTGGGGACTGCCAGGTCTCTCCATCTCTGCAGGCTCTGGACAGGTTTCTCCAGATGGAGAAATGGAGTTTGGCCCCAGTTCCTCCCGTGCCTTCCCCCGTCCATCCGAGCCCGGCGCGCCAGGAGATGGCTCTTCGGTGAGTCTCTTGGAAATCTTTTGGAAGAGGGTTTTGGGGACAGCCCAGCTCCTTGGGGAGGAGCAGAACCTCCTGCTGCTCATCCCCTGCAATGGGGGGAGGACTCTGTGTCCACAGGGCTGGAAAACTCTGTGCCAAGCCCTTCACTGTGGCCCTGCCGGGCGTGATCCCTGCTCTGTGACCCCTGGGACACCCCAGCCCTTCTCCCGTGGGAAGCAGGGTCTGAGCAGTGCAGGAATAAGGGGCTGGTCGTGTCCCTGCAGGATGCAGGAGCTGCTGGAGCAGATGAGGTCAGTAAGTTGTGATCTCCAGTTCAACAACAGCATCATCGAGCGGTGAGTGAGAGCCCCCAGAGCCGCTGCTCCAGGCGGGAATTCCTGCTCCTTGCACCGGGAGATGTGGGCACACCCCTGGCAGAAGGTGGAGGGTCTGGGTGGTCTCCCTGGGAGCTGCAGTGTGGGAGCTGTGCCTGGTGCTGAGCACAAGCACAGTCACCCGTGAGCTGGTCCAGCGGGGGTTTTAATGTCACCAAATTTACACCACGGTCTGGCAGCAGAAGAGTTTATCTTTCTTGGAGGTTTAGCCATGATCCTCAGCAAAGCTCTGTCATTTCTACACCCTCTTTCCAGCCTTTTCCCTGTGCTGCCCAATTGCTGACTGCCACAGAGAAGTGGATGTTTTCTCCTTCCGTATAAAACTGTGCAAACCCAGCATGTACTGCTGAAAAAAAACCTGATTTTCCTCCTCTGCCACCTTTTTTTGAGGCTCTTGAGGCAAATCGAGAGTGAGAACATGCAGACCAGAATGTCAGAGAGTTTAAAAAAGCAAAAAAGAATTCGGAAATTCACCCCAGCCCTGTTTTTGTAGGACCAAGTGTGGTGTTGCAGCACATCCACCGTGAACAAGGGGATAAGAAAGGTCGTGTTTGCTTTCTCTAGGAAGAGCTCATCCCAAAAGACACGGGAACAGGTCCAAAGATTAGTGCCTGGCTAGAGCTGTAGTTTGGGATTGCACGTGCCCAGGTGACCCCTCTCTAGCCTAAAGCCTTTGGTTTTGTCCCTGCAGGTTGGGAGGGGCTGCTCCCACCCCTGGCGTTTGAGGGACGTGGGGAATGTGCAGCTGCTGAAGCAAAACCACTTCCCAGCACGGGGAAACCCCAGCACTTGGGGAGCCATCGGGCACTGGTGTTTGAGGAGCTCTCTGTGTCCTACCTCTCTGCCCCAGCACTTTTGCACGTTCACCAGCATTAGCTCTGAGTGCCTTCAGCCTCTGGAAGTCTGACCAGAACACTGAGTGGGGTTTCATTTTTCTTCATTTTTTAAAAAGTGCTTGAAGGACTCCGTGGTGTTCTGGCTTCTCTGTATCACCGTGTCAGATGAAGAAGAGGCTAGACCTTTTGTCTTCTTACTTATTTAGGGATTATTCCCACTTTTAACCTACTTCTTCTCCCTGGGGCTTCATGGAGTGGGGCAGGAGGGATTGCTGATGGATGAGAGACTGGATCCAGCCCAGGAGGTGATGGCACAGAGAATGTGGGAGTCACAAACCTCTGCCCCTGGGCACTGCAGCTTCTACTCCTGCTGCAGGGCTTCTCCTCAGCCCAGCCCCGTGCCTGGGCTGCTGAGGGCTGTGGGAGGGGGAAGCCAAGGGAGGCTTCTCCTTTTTGGTACATTTCTATAAATATAATCTCGTTCTGTGGATGCACGTGAGGGTTGTGCCTTCTCCAAACAACCCTGGACTCAAAACGTGGCTCCAGCCCCCAAACTCGGGGGTGCTACTGAACGCCAAGGCAAAATCTCAGATGAAAGGACTCCCACGAGCCCTCTCCAGCCACACCACTGCAGGAGAAAGCAGGGATATTCCTTTTTCTTTTAGATAAAAGACAGAAAGACATCCCAAGCAGCCCCCCCTGCCTTTGACATGAAGGATGTTTTCACCTGTGGGGGTGGCAGAGCAGGGATGGGGACAGGAGGGACTCCAGCTGTGAGCACTTGGAGCTGCCTTGGGAATGGCATTCCCAAAACTTCACTCCTATTATGCTCCAGAGAAATGAGGCTGGAGAGGAAACACATTACCCCGTCCTTGTTGTCCCTCAGGGCAGCACACAGAGAACTGTGGGAGGACCCTGGTGGCAGGGCTGTCCCAGCTTTTCCTACTGGTTTGTGACCTTGGGTTTGATGAGGAGCTGTAATCCCCTGGATGTCAGCCAGCAGCAGCCTGAGGAGCAGTGATATGAGATGCCTGGGATCTCGGGAGCATTAGATGGTATCAGGGAGATATTTGTGGGAAGGGTCAGTCACACCTTCCCCCATCCACCTCTCCCTGCCCATCCCCAGCATGATTTATGGGCTGTCACCCCAATCCCACCCCCCACATCCCATCCTGCAGCAGAGGGGAGCAGCATTCCAGCTGCACCCAAAGCTGGGCACAGCGACAGCTCCCATCCCACTGGGATCAGACATAGGGATTTACACCTGGGGGGCTCCTGGCACATCAGTGGGCACATTGCCTTGGCTCTCCCCCCCCCTCCCTGGCACACACCAGTGCAAAGACACAACAATCCCTGCCCTGGGCTCTCTGGGAAGCTCTGGCCCCCCAAATCCTCCTGCTGGGGAAGGGGCTGCATTGCTGGGGCTCACAGTGGCAGCAAACAGGCCTTGGGAAGCTCATGCCCCCCAGGTTGCACTGGTGGGGGGTGTTAAAAGATGTTGGGATTCATTCCTGTTCCCTGCACAAAGCCCTTCCCTTTGTGTAAGCCTGGTTACTCCAGGGTGCAAACTGGGACTGGCTGCTGGGGATAAAGGAGGCTGGAGGAGGGACTGGGGATCCGGGATTTTGGGCAGCATCAGCACCAGCAAAATCCGAGGGTGGGGGACCCTCTGCAGCTCCCAGGGACTGACTGTGCATCTGGAAGGAGAGGCTGGGCCATCAGCCAGGCAAGCAAACGTGTCAGAGTCAGCAGTGGGGATGCTCAGAGGGCCTGCCCAGACCTGCCCTCCAGGGAGAACACAGCACCCTGCTCAGCCCTTCGCCTTTCCTCCAGTTCCCTCCCCAGCACCTCTTCTGGAGGTGACACCTGAGCCAAACCTCCAGCTGAGTCTGGGCCTGATGTGGCTGTTCTGGCTGTCCAAGGGTTGCCCCCAGCCCGAGAACCAGGATTCAGGTTATCTGGCAGTGCCCAGGGGTTGAGAGACAGCAGAGACAGGGCAAGGAACTGCCTGCTGTGGATGCTCCTGGGATGGACCCAGAAGCAACCCTTTCTAATCTCTGCTGGGAGACAGAATTGTGGGATAGTTGGGTTGGAAGGGATCTTAAACACCATCTCATTCCAAACCCCCTGCCATGGGCAGGGACACCTTCCACCAGCCCAGGTTGCTCCAAGCCCCGTCCAACCTGGCCTTGGACACTGCCAGGGATGGGGCAGCCACAGCTTCTCTGGGCAACCTGTGCCAGGGCCCCACCACCCTCACAGGGAAGAATTCCTTCCTAATTTCCTAAATAATATATAGGGACACAAGGCAAAACAGTGCATCCCTGGAGCTGAACATCTTGCTGCCCCGAGCCTCAGCAAGGGAACAAAGGGAACCAGGAGCAGCAGCAGCTGCAGGGCTGTGCCCGGCTTGACTTTCTTGTAGGAACACGCCAAGGGTGCCCAGGAGCTCCCCCCGCCCAGGAAACCTTCCCCAGTGGAATTTGGCACCAAACCTTGCCATTTGTTTTAATTATAAAGACCAACATCCTGAATGTCAAACTCATCTATTTACTGTGGAGAGGTGGAACTGAGCCATCGCTTAAAAGCTTTCCTCCTACAAATTATTTTCCAGGATCCTCCTGGTTTTCTAATGAATGTGATTTTTAATCCAGCTCGAATTCGCTGATATTCCCTGTAGGAACGGGGCAGGAAGCCCAGGCAGGGTCTCCTGCTGCACTTCCTTGGATTCAGTGGAGCTGCACTGACTCGCACCAGCTGAGAGTTTGACCTGGAACATGTTTGGCTTCCACAGAAAGGGATTTATTTCTTGGCAAAAAGAAAAAAGAGTTTTTGCTAATAGCCCTTGTCATGCTTAAACTGCCGTAACACAGCAGCTGCAACGGGGACTCCTGGAATCCAAATGAAATGGGAATTTTCCTGCCAGTGTTAATTAGCTGGGTGGTTTTTTCCCCCCCTAATATTTTAACCCGTGGCCTAAGAGAGCTTCATGTGCTGTCAGCCCTGAATACCTGCAGAGACAGATGAGAAGGATAAAGACTATGACAGGTCTCTTGTGCAGGTTTGAGCCAGATCTTCCTATGGGGACGGAAAATATTACATTTATTTAGTATTTACGTGCCCTGGTGCTGCAGAATGGAGACTGGAACTGTGTCCTGGGATTGCACTGGGAAAACAAAAGTCCAGAATGGCTTTAACAGGTTCCCAGCCAGGTGCCAGGTAGACCTTTGCCCTCAGAAAGGTCATTTCCTTTCTTGGAGGTGATTCCTGATACAATTAACAGCCCGAGGAGAACGTAGGATAAAACTCCAGGTTTTTGTGAAACAATTTACTGAGGAATAAATCTGCTGCTGTTCTCTGGCACAAGCAGGAGGCATGAAAGTGAATCAGGATCCTGAATGGGGAAGAAAAAAAACCTTCCAAAAATTAATCTTGCTGCTTAGCACAGAATAAAGCTGCAATTTT